CATAATCAGCAGCCTGGAATTGCTGGTATATTAACAGTTCTGACTGTCAAGCACTAGGTTCTATCGACAGATATGTGGGTTGGCAATTCGCTGGTGAAGTAAGGTTGCTTTGGCCTGCACTACATCGACTTCATGCTGGATGAATTTGCCGATCGAGGTGTGTTGCTCGTTTTATATACATATCGAACAACGTGGCACTGATGGCAGGTACCCTACGGTAGAGCCCATATGCTCGAATGCAGCCCATTCCATGATACTCATGTGGGCGAAGCCTTCATGCGTGACGCAAAAGCTACCCTCTTCCTAATTCAGCATTAAATGTTAATGGAGCGTCCGTGGTCGTTAGATGGGCCACGTAGTGTTACCAGGTATATCGGGGCGCCCTCCGCTCGCACTGGTACAGTACAAGCTACCTTTACTGACACATTGTTGGCAGGTGCCTCGATACCTCATGTACACAGTAGTGCAGAGGAAGGTGGATCTTTTTAGCGGACACGTTTAGAAATAAAATTGTGTAAGTGCATGTTCTATCGAAAGTTTTCCAAGAAAAACTTTTGATATTCTGTTAGTGTTGTTGGAGGAGCGTGACTGCTGATGTGGGAAAGCGCGTCTGGTGGTGTAAAAGACATAACGATCGTTGAATAGGCGCAACCTTTGGGATCGCAGGAGTGATTTGTGTAATTTACGAGCGATTTGTGTAACTTGCGCAGAAGAGGTCAACCTGCAACGGGTACAGAGGCGACTAGCGCATACGATCAAATACATTCACTTCTCGATTATCTATCCAACGTACAGGGAAATCAACAGTTAGCTATAGTGGGCTACAAACGCCAAATATAGGAACTCGCTCGCCACCCCTTGCGCGCGTCTGGCAGCGGTTGGTCGTTTAGTTGGTCGCTAGAATGACCTGTGTGTACCAAACAATGAGTGGATCGGTGCCGAATGTTGCGTTCGAGGGTTTTATCCCTTCAATATTTACTTACCAAGGTAAATATTGGACAATACCATCAGATTCTATTCACATTGACCCAATTGGATGTCAATGGCAAACACGGGACTCGCCCCGTACCAACGGTAGTGTCTCGCTTTATTTTGTACGTCCATCAATGCTAATTGCTACGGCGCACATTTTCAATGAAAACGAGTCGCTAGCTTGGCTATGGGTCATGCAGTACCATTGATCTCTTGTTCGTGCCTGCATTGGCGCTACTACTGTTCGAGCGACAACGTCGGAGCACCTAGAGTTTGTATCATGTAAACCAGTAAGACTGTGCTTCCTACCGACAAAGTGATGACGTTCGCATCATCTCTGGTCGCAAGCAGACCATGTCGTCAACGACAAGACGCTTGTCGAGTTGTGGATTCGTAGAGCGTGCGTGTGGTGCGAACTACGATTCTCATCTTGAAGACCACTGGCTTGACCAAGTGACGCTCAATTGATACCCCCTCGAGCGCCAACAGCCTCTCATGGGTATAAAGTTAGTCATGCGCTTGCATGATTAGAGTTACCTCAGGCCACGCAAAACGTACTGCAACTCAGGTCGCAGGAAGGTGTAGACCGTTGTCAAACTAACCCACCACACGACCAGCCACGATTGATGCTTCTCTGTTACATCGACATGCTTGTTTTATGCACGCTAGCATCTCGCAACATGTCCGCGAGAAGCCACGGAGTGTTCGTGCGAGTGACGAAGGAATGCACCGGTGTTTGTGTATCTTTACAATTAGAATGACATAACACTTGAAGCAAAGCAGCAACATGCATTACTGTTCGACTCATAGCGATGACTGCGTGTGTATAACTGCAGCTTATCTGTCGTCATTTAGCGGTCTGGAAGTGAGTGATGTAGGACGGCGTTCCGTTGGACAAAGTCGTCATGACGAAAAAAGTCCGCCGTGTATTTCCTGCTACAGGCGGCGTTGCAATCATAAGGGTGGTGTCACGCAATTGTAACAAGGGGATGTCATGACGACTGAGCAAGATGGTTGCGCTGCTGCTGTGCTGCAGGAGTGGGTAGACATGACACCACAAGACGTAAGAAGAGTAGAAGCAAATAGATGATAGTGGTGGTAAGGCATAGTAGCCCCTTCATTGGCTCGCAGATCGACATTTCTTGCTGTTTAATGACAAAGCTAGTGCGTTTACAGGTCAACCGACAGGCCAGCAAAGACATTTTTGGCACGCACGATCATTTATCAGCATGGCGACAAGCACAAAGTACCCTATCGCGCTGTGAACTAGTGATAATGGTATGGAACGTACCCAATAGAAGCGTACAACAGAACCAGAGACATCGCTGTCACCAAAGCACCCCCTGTCTGTTTTAGCGCTTGTTAAAATTGTTTGTCATCGGGACAACAAGTCTCTCACGCTACACATCCACGGGTCACACGTGTGGTCATCACAGCATCATTTCCAAATGATCGATTTTGTGGCACTTCCTTCGGCCTCAAGCTATGGTCAAAGCAGGACAGCGACACTATCGTGAAGTCAAATGCCCTGTGACCACGAAAACGCTCCCACTCAGTTTACAGAGGCCGACAGGTGACGTCGAACAAGACGCAAACGGTCATGTAAAACTTGGAACAGAGCGTTGCTATAGTGCACTTTTCGTTTCGACAGACCGATTCGAGATGATTGCAACAAGGACCAAACGTCTCGTGCAGAGTCGCGTCCCAACTACAACATTTGTCTACGACGTCTTTCAGGGGTTCCATCATCCAAGCGCGTCTTTGTAGCGGGTACCCACCAAACCAAAACATGTCCTGTCGACATCCAGTTCGCATATCTCTAGCAGTCCGACGAGTGATCGACTGCAATTATTCGACTTTTTAACGAACGTGGCAACGTTTTCGCACTTAACTGCAGATGCCCTCAGCTTACCCGGCCGTAGTCGGCTTCGAGAAGAACGAATGGACGAATCACCGCCTCGATCTCGTCCATCGATGCTTTCGATTCGTCGGAATACCGCAGCGTCCGTCGCCCTACCCCGCCTGCATTTGGTTGGTTCGAGTGCAGCGAAGCGGGCAGTCACTTGGCGTTTGTATGCTCCGTGCCGTACGTGCCGTTTTGTATGGCCAGCCGAGCTGCCCCGCCCCCGCTAGACTTATTTTACCCTTCCTCCCGCTCTGCAGTAAAGTCCCAAGCCCGCGCCTAAGATGGTACGGGCCCTTGTGTTCCTTCCTGTTGTAGCTGCTCTGCGTCTCTGTCCATAGCCAGCGAATCGCGCAATGCAAAGCCGTTGTCTCGTCTTGCGCTGCCAAGAGAGGCGTCTGCTACGCGGGACGTGTCAGCGATGAAGCCATAACGACCACACAGTGTGTCGATTGTCAATCGTAATGGGAAAGAGCTCCCGTGGTGGCAGCAGCTGCCGTCGGAGATCGTTCTGTTGCCAGTCGATCGCCAGAGAGACGGAGGCAGCGCTCGTTGCGGCACTTTGCAGCTCGATGGCTACGTCTGCTGGCCGAGCTCGAACGGTTACGATACTGACAATGGGTGTTGCATTGTTTCGCTGTTTGTGCTGTAGACGAAAGGTACGCAGAGTTTCGGCATGCGCCACAACAAGACCCACACCATCTGTAGACGGTGTGGGCGCAGCTCGTACCACATCCAGAAGGGCACGTGCTCGTCGTGTGGCTACCCTGCGGCCAAGATGCGCAAGTGTACGTCGATGCTGTTGTTGTTCTTCTTGTCGCTGTAGATATTGGTGTTGTGGGTGGTATAGTGTGGTAGTGGTGGAAGTAGCTGATGTGTCGTGTATGCTCTGAACTGGATTGTGCCGTATAGACAACTGGAGCCAAAAGGCTTTGCGTCGTCGTACGACCGGCACGGGCCGTATGCGTCACCTGAAGACGGTGCAGCGCAAGTTCAAGAACGGTTTCCGTGAGGGCTCGTCCGCTGTGTCCAAGAAGGCCGCCACCAACTAAGTACACTCGGAGGTGGTATCAATCGAGCAGAACAGGGAAACAGGCAGCTGGGGTAACAGGCACCAACGAGCAAGCGAAGTGAAAGGATAGCAGCGAGTGGGGGAGGGCGTGGAAGACGAAATAGAAGTGGAATCGAGAGCTCTGAGCGGAAGCGGTGATGGACGGGGGACGCGAAAGCGTGCAACGACACATGACTCGACCGCTATGGGGCCCTCTGAGACGACTTTTCAATTCAATGTTCACATCCTTTGGTCGCTTCTGGTCTGTTTCATTGTGTGCTGTTTGTGACTGGACTATGTGATGTGTCACCAATGATACAGCGGTGTCTTGTTGCAGAGAGATGCGGATGTCCCAGCGATTGCAACGAGGACACTGAGTTACCAGATATGTGCATGACTTATCACACAGCGCACGTTTCAGCTCGGACTTGAGCTTGTAACGCTCGGTATCGTGCATCTGCGCAGACCGAACCTAATTGTCCGACGCGTTGCCTGTCAAGGTATGCATGGCGTTATGACAAAAGCTGGTCCTGTGACACAAGTTGGTCTTTTGACAGAAGTTGGTCTCTATGCGGTGCCATGTCTCATCGTGTCTTCTCTACAGCGCATACTGCATCAACCTACTGCACTGTTGGCCCACGATGGTGTTCGGATCGACCGTGTCGTGAGTCTCGTACCTGCGTTTATGATATCGTGGCCTGTAATTTTGCGTAGTGGAGGAGTGATATAATACGTGCTCGACATTCAGTATGCGACTTTGTATGGAAACGACGGACGATCGCAAAGTAGACGACGGCGGTTCCGAACTTAGCGTTGACGATCGGAACGTCTACCGCGACAACATTCGGGTCTACATTCGGGTCTCGGCATACAAAATCGAAGGATACAACCAGCGTTAAGGCCGTCGCCAAGCAAGAAAGTATCCAAAACCTCGCGTAAGTATCACTTGTCACGAAAGTCGAGTCGTCGAGTCCAGCTGTCCCATTTTAACGTGGCGCACACAACACAGCGCTTCCACTCGCGAGCCCACCCACAGCCGTATATCCGGTTACGTCTTGACACATCTGCTGCAACATGGGGAGCGACGACAAGACCGTAGCTAAGCCGTACGACCTCTGGATTCCCCGCCGCATGCGCGATCCTCCTCCGTCTTTCCCCCTCCTTGTCTCTCATCGTGCTAACGTCGTCATGGGCTCCTGCTGCTTCTTTCTCTCGTGTGCTGCTCATTCTTTTTTCTTATAGTGCCGAGGAAGAAATCACTGGTCAGAAACGAAAGGCGCCCGGAGACGCAAAAATTACGTCATTTTTCAAGACTGGAAGCGAAGGAAAGGACGAAGCCACGACGGACGTGAGCAACAAAAAGACTGAGAAGAAGGAGGAACGGGACGACGAGGACGAGGTTGAAGACGAGGAGGACGAGGACGCTGAGGAACAAGATGATGATGATGATGACGACGACGACGATGACGACGATGACGACAGTGAAGAGGAGGAGGACATGGCTCCTCGACCGAAAAAGCGGCGAACGCGAGACAGCGACGACAGTGGCGACAGTGGGGATGAGTCCGAGCCGGAGCTCAAGATGACCGAGGACGACCTCGTGGGTGTCGACACGACGAACATCATCCCGCGTTCTCGACGCCGTGCGGCTGTTGCTGCGATGGCACTGGCGTCAGAGGAACTGGCGGCGGCTACGGGTGTGGCACCTGCTGCGGCGACGGCGGCTAACGATCGTGATGACGACGACGATGGCGAATCTAGCGACGAAGCCGAGTTTTAGGACGACCGTACGGACGAAGCACAGCTAATGTTCATGTGCTTATGATGATGAGACCTACTTGCTTCTTTTGCTCTATCTATGACTGTCAGACGGTCGGCAAGCATTGCAATCATTGCATGCAGACGATGAACGAAACATCGTGGCGGGTGGCTACAGTCTAGGCAACTGCCGAAACAGGACACTAGCTATGGAGCTGGGCCCAGCAGTTTTTCGAAATGCCAATACGCAATCTCTGCTGCACGAGCTCGTGCCAGCTTATATGACGGCGCTGTTGCCTTGCAGACTGGCTGCACATATCATGTAGAGCACATCGCACGAATGACGTAAGAACCACGCAGAAGTGAAGGATGTCAACGTTTGGTCGTACCCGTCTTTTCACATAGAGTTCCGCCGTGTACTCGGAAGCGTTCGCCGCGGCTGGCAGGTACCTGCATATTGCAACATTAAGGTAAGCGGATCGACCGTTCCATGCATTGTGTTACAGCCAACGCAATACCATACTTGTACACAGGATGGCCATAGTAGTGCCCTTGCAAGAGGTTCTGCAATTCGACAATGGGTTCCCAAATCACATCGCGCGTGGCGTACTCAACCGCTCGAGGAAGAATGTGCGTCGTCACGAAATTGAGCGCTGTCTCCATACCCTGAGCAACAAAGACACATTGCTGTTACCGCGGTGACGATAAACACGATACCGCACAGCCAGCCGTCGTCCCCACCTGGTCCAGATAAACGGCTGCAATGAGCGATTCTACTGCACCTGCAGCAATGGTGACTCGGCCCTTGACAACCAACGATGCACTGCTCGCCTCGTTCAATCCAGCCGGCCATAGAAGAAGCTCTGTGATCCCCAAGTCGGCGCTGATCTTCGACAACGTCTCGTTGTTGACAATTGCCGACTTGGCGCGGGACAATTGACCTTCTTGGTGTTTTGGCAGCGTCTGGTACACGTATCCTGCTGCAGCTGCCCCCAGCAGCGAATCGCCAAGGAACTCCAAACTGCGGTTCGACAGTCGGACAAGTGGCACACCGTCCGGCAGCGAGTAGTTTGGTAGAAAGCCATGATGTGTGAGTGCACTTTTGAGCAACGTCAGTTGCTGAAACCGGACGCCAATGCGTTGCTGGAGCTCCTCGAGTCCAGCGTCCCAGTCGTTCGGACTCGGGACGCGCTCAAAGTGGTCCGACGTGATGATCTGCCAGTCCGGATTCGTGCTTGGAAACATGAGCTGAGGCGCTGTGATCTTTTTGGTCGTGATCACGTCGCCATCTAATCGGCGACGCTCTATCTTGGCGGTCTGGGTCAAGGGCTCAGCTGGGACGTGACTGTGCTGTGGCCGATGCGCTCTCTCGGTGTCGCACTCGGCAGCTATAGCAGCTGCCACGGCATCGGCAACCGCTTGTGGACTTCGAAAGCCCTCGGGGAGGGAGCTGCGTGACGAGTAGAGCGCACAGAGCTTGCGAGATGCGGCGCCTAAGCGGCAACACCTGATGCCAATCATTGTGTTGTGCGTCGATGGGTTTGTTTTTCGCTAAGTATACGCAGATGGCTGGACGCTTCGATGGGTACAAAGTAGTAGCGCTCACTTGTTATTGTTTGCCTCGCAAAACGAATGAGCGCAAACCTCTTTCTGGATTGGAGGATTGGGTCCTTTGATCCCGAGAGGCAGGTTTTGGCAAGTTGTTGGACTAGTACCAGTGGACAAGTCCTTACATTTGGTAGTAGTGATGGCTTTGGATCATCTAGCGACGTCACGGTACGTATGGGTTTCACATGCATGCGGATAATGCGGGACCTCACAACAGCAGACGGTGTGCAGCTTCGTGGATATTGCGAGCATCGTTCTTACGGCATTTTGTGCAGAATCTTCCCCAATACGATCGAATACAAGTCGGAACATCATTGTGCACAGGAACGAATGCAAACAATGATTTGTCGAGTGACCAGCGACGCCATGTAGAGCTTGCTAGATGGCAAACATACAGGACCTTCATCTCGCGAGCAGAGCAGTCGAATCGAAAATGTATGCCAATGTGCGCCATCGAGTAACGTGTGAAGAACATAGATGTCGCGATGTCGCTACCTCTTAGTAGTTGCTGACTTTGCCAGACAATCGCGATGTGATACGCCTCGACAAGTCGTCACGATGGACTTCAACGGCCCTGTCACACATCGATCTCGTGGCGGTTACATCTCCCTTCACGTATGTTGTACAAGCGATGCAACTCCAGATGACTTTCAATCCGGATCAAGCGATTCTCAGCGGTCTGCCGAGAACATATTGAACTCGCCAGACCGCTTTAGACAGTATGCGCTGCATCCATCAGAAATCAACTGGCCGATTGATTCGACAATGGCCTCGAAAAGAGGCCTTGTCCACAACCTTCGATACAGCCTATCCCCAAAGCTGTATGCGGCATGTAAATAATCGCTTGCCAGTGTTATCTTCCCACCGTAATTTACGCCATCCACGCACCATTGGTAGCACCAACGCCGCGGTCGGCGTGCAAGCGGCCACCCTTCGCACCCTCCTGTCCATGCGTCGCAATCGTCCGAGCGCCTTGGGCGACCCCTCCGTGCCTCCCCAGCGTCTCCACTCGCTCCGCACTTCGTCTCGTCGCCTCCCGCGCTCGTCGTCGTCGTCGTCAGCTGCCGCGTCGGTCGTCTCCCGTCCCTCATCGAGGCTTATCCCGCGAAAACAGGATAAGCAAAAGCAGCATACGAATCCGCGGCGACGCGAAGTCACTGTTTCGAGTTCATCCGATAGTGACAATGCCACGCCCGACGACGATCAAGAAGCTCACCATGACGGCGAAGAACTAATGACCGCGTACGAACGCCAACGACTGGCAAAGATCCAGCGCAACTTGGCATTTATGCAGCAGATGGGCGTCTCAACCGCCAAGATAGCAGCCAGAACAGCCATTGAAGCACAGGGTCGTGGCGGCAGCAGTAGCAGTGCTACTACGACTGGTGCTGCTGCTGCTGCTTTGGAGGCCAAACGGCAGCAACGAGCTGCTGCTCGAGCCATACAGGCTGCTCGCAGGGCCGAGCGCCTGAGTCAGCCGATTCGGAAGTCGAGACGGCTGGAAGGCAAGCAAGTGGAGGTGCAGCCGATCGAGTCAATTGATCAGTTTGAGCTGGATCAGACGCGGCGCTCGCCGCGTCGTCTTGTGCGAGGTGGCAGCAGCAGCAGTATGCCGGTGATGGATGCAGTGGATGGTGAGAGTCGAGCGTTCTTGGGAACGTTCATGACGGCAGCGTCGGAAGACGAAGCGCTGGCCGATGACACGGTCGTTCTTGCTGAAGACGATAGTGACAGTGAGAACATGGACGACGGGTACCAGGTCGAGTATGCGCTGGCCGATGAAGATATTGTCAAGGCCGTGCAAGCACGGATCTACTCGATGGCGTTTTTGCCGCGTGCAGACCGTGTGGTGGTTGCATGTGGGGACAAGATGGGTCATGTGGCTCTATGGACACCGCTGGCTGCAGCAAACGTGAAACAAGAGAGCTCAGTGTCGCCGCTGGCAGTGTACAGACCACACGATACTCCTGTGAGTCAATTGATCTTTTCCGAGTCGTCTAAGCTAATTTCAAGCAGCTTCGATGGCACCGTGCGCGAGTTTGATTTGCGTGCCGCAAAGTCATCAGTGGTCTATGATACGAGCGAAGATGCAGGCATTTCGTCGCTTGCAACAGCAAGCATGGCGCAGTGCTATTATGCGAGCTGCGATGATGGCACGGTTCGGCTGATTGACCGGCGTGCGCAAAGCGTGCTGAGCTCGCGTTATCAACTGCACGAGAAAAAGATCAACACGGTGCACCAGCACCCTGGTGCCGAGTTGTGAGTACTAGTTTCGACTGCGGTTGTGTCCGAGAGCGGCTTTTACTGACTGGCTATCTTTTTTTCTTCTTGTTGTGTGTAGCTGCATCGCAACGGCTTCTTTGGACCGCACCGTATGTCTGTGGGATGCTCGCAAGATGTCCGCTGAGCAAAGCGTACCGTTGGTGACATTGCCGCACCACCGCAGTGTGAATTGTGCCTATTTTTCTCCGCGAGATGGCGCGTGGCTGGTAACGGTGGGACAGGATTCGTTCATTGACATGTTTGACACGTCGAGTCTCACCGAGCATAAGCTCGCAGACAAGCCCGCGATTGCCTTGCCCAAGCCGATCCGAGTTCGGCACAACAACATGACCGGCCGATGGCTCACGAAGCTCCACGCCGCCTGGGATCCCAAGCGACCGAAACACTTTGTGCTCGGCTGCTTGGAGCAGCCACGCCGAATCCAGATCTTTCGTGCTGGCCGTCGCCGTCCCGTCCGTGAGCTCATGAGCGACAATTTTGCTTCTGTGCACTCAATCAATGCTTTTCACCCTCATCTGGAGCTGATTGCAGGTGGCAACTCTTCTGGCCGACTCGCTCTTTGGCGTGGCACGAAGGTCGACAAAGATGACGGCGTCAAAGCCGATGATGACAAAAGCCAAGTGCGTGTGAAGACTGAACAGTGATCAGTTCATCCAGCGATTTCGCTAGCTGTAATCAGTGACAACCAATAAACATCTAGCAGTGTTATTCTACTCTTCGCCCATATTCGCTCTCTTGTCACGAGATGCCATTGGCAGTATACATCTCTTCCTGCCAGCCTAGTTGCCAGCTCCACTTTGTTCCTTCGTGAGCGATTTCTCGTACATCCCTATCAGCCCATCCGCCCGCAACAAACGCAGTCAGCACCAAGGCCAAAACAACGCACAACACAGAGCATTGCTCGTACCTTCTCTTCGAAGCTCCGTGTGCCTCGCTTGCACATTTTCAAAACGAGCGAGGAGCGCACTAGCATCGATGCGCGAAGCATCTGGCGCAGAATCATCATGACTTGACGCACTCAAACGCGGTTGCTCTCCACTCTTCCGTAGCCGATGTGAGTCGCCATTTAGCGTCACGCGGCTGATGGCTGTAGTCATGCTTGTCACGCTCGCGAGCCGGTCCCGCAGCACCCGGAAGGCAGCGCTTTGGGGAAGCAGCATCAGTAGTCCGTACAGACTCTTGACCAGATCCGTATGGTAGTCTTCCTGAATCTCGAGAAGCTGCAGCCGCATTTGGATGAAGATCGGTGATTCCAGCAGCTGCACGAGTTTATCGATCTGCATGAGGAACCCGACGGACGCGTCAATGTCGGCAAATTTGCTGATAAGTGCTGCAGACAGCGTGTAAGATTGGGCCAGTAAGCAAAGGCTGAATGCTGCGATTGGATTGTGACACCACGATCGGAACAGTGCTGTGAACACTTCGACGTCGTCTTCCGATGCACGGGGCTGGAAACTGCGACGTAAAACATCACGGAGGTGCTCCAACTCATTTGCTGTCAGCAAGATGAGGTTCAATGTTTGTACCATGACGGCGGCAAACTCGCTGTCGGCTTGGCTATTGAGGTAGACAGCTTCTGTGCCGAGCACCTTAGCAAATATGAGGTAAATGCTCTTCGAGTCCAGAAGTACACACAGCTTTCGCACGATCATGCTGCCACGCATCTCGAGCAACCGCCGGTCCTGTGCAAAAAGAAGCAAGATCGCATTGAGCACTTTCTCGAACTCGAACTTGTTGAGTGAAATGCGAGCTAGCACTTCCAAGTCGAGCAGCACCACACTGTCAGAGATGTCTGACAGTGTCCGAAGCAGGGCAGGTAGCAGCTGACCAATATGTGCTGACAGCTGGTTGGGATACTTTTCCAGTAACATCGAGATCCAACGCAATGCTGCCATGCGGGTAGGCACATGATCGCTACTGAGCTCTAACGTGAGTTTCTGCATGAGCGGCAGTAGTTCCACATCTTCGGTCGTCGACTTCACAAGCTGTAGTAAGTCATCATTGGCGCGCTCAGCCACCTGTCGAATTTCGTGCTCTGCGTCTGAGATGCAGTGCATAATGGCAGCCAGCAGATCAGCGTAGAACTCCACAAGCTTCTCTCGCCCTAGATTCACAAACTCGTGCACCCAACTCACAGCAGTCAGTCGATTGAACCGCTCCTTGCTGTTGCACTGTCCCACGAGGATATCCACCATGCGCCCGAACTCGACATCTTCTGTCTGCTTGATTTCGCGCAGGAACTCTGCCAATGCACTGTCCGCTGCTTGTCGTATCTCACGATTGCCATCACTCAGCATATTGAACAACCCGTCGAGAAACTCAGGCAGCCAATCCAGCATATCAATATCCGGCACGGAATCCAAGACTGTGATCCAGCCGACCAGGAGTTGTCGAATGTACGGATTCGTCATGCGAATGTACTTGTGCAACAACGGGATAAACACATCGACGTCAAAGTACTCGCTTTCCGTCACAATGTCCTTCACCAATCGGTCGAGCAAATTCGCGCCGTTCTTCACGTCCACGTCCACGTCCGCAAACAGTTTGCACAGCCCGTCAAAGATCGGATTAAAGTACTGCAAAATGTGACCTCTCGCGACTTTTGCAATATTGTACAGCGACTCGCACGCATAGTAGCGCACGCGACTTTCCGGGTCGTCGAAACAGTGCAAGACGGGAGGCAGGAGTTTGTCCAGATACAAGTGCGCGTCATGCATGAGACCAATCGCTGTCGCCGCGAGGCCAATCAGCCCTCCTTTCCGATGATTTGCGTTCGACGAGCACGCAAAGTCATTGCCCAAGAGCTCAATAATGGCTGGAATCCGTTGACGACTGGGGTTCATCGCCGCTTGCGCCGCTGCTTCTGTTGCTGCTGCCGATGCAGTGGCCACGACCGACGACACGCCGTCCACACTGTCGCTCTCGGTGCCAGAGGCGGCCGACAGTGGCTCAGTAATGGTCCGCGCAAGGGGCGAGTCGTACTGCACGTGGAGCTGGTGGTGGTGCTGCTGCTGGTGGAACTCGACCGACGCGGCGTTCTCCTGCAGCTGCTTGATCAGGTTCTCCAGCTCCATTGCTGCCCCTTTGCGCTTGTCGTACGACCGGTCGCCCAAGTTGCGCAACAGCGTCGGCGTGAGCGGCAGCTGCACGGGGAACTCTGCTGCGTCCAGCGCGTCACTGGCGCCGCCCGTACTACCGAACCCGAACGGCATTGCCGCCGCTGCTGCTGCTGCTGCTTGCGTCAGTGCCGACTGCGGTAACATGGGCGACGCGTCCGTCGAGTAGCAGCTCATGACGGCGTGGCGGACGTGGGGGTGCGGCGGGTGCGTTGGTACACAATGTGTACACGAAATAGACTGTACCACGCACGAGGTGAGCGTAGTGGTAGATCGATCGGGTCAAGAGCTGGTAAGGTGGTCAGGGCGAGCACTGATTGGACGAATCGAGCTTTTCGTGGCGGGACAGGAGGGGGGTGGGTGGGTGGGTGGTACACGAGCGTGTGTCGATGGGTTTGTTTGGTTTGTCGTGCGATGACTGGAGTGGGTTTTTTGGCCTTTGGGGCGTGTTGTTTGTGGTTGCGGTGACGCGCGATGGTCTTCTTTGTGGACCTTGCTTGTTCTCACGGGGTATGCGATTTTGGAGGTGCGTGCCGCGGGTCAGCGATGCGACTGGACTTGATCAAGACGTGATGTTCTTGTTGCGGAGCGAAGTGGGTTTTGGCGATATGATGATGCCCGGGACCCGAAGACAAATAATTTTCATTACACTCGACCCGGTATCCGACTAATAAGCAGCACAACTTGCGGTCACACGCGAGCATACAACTATCAAGTGTGCGATATGCCTGTTGGCAGAAACGGGCTTCCGTCTGGTCATGACGTCGTACCCTCGAGACGAAGCCTGTGTCGCAGACCGCCAAACCGCTGCTCTCCTCGTCACGAAGACAAAACGTGCCCATATTCGTCCTACCCCGTCGCCAATCTCAAGCCATTCAGCCAACTTCCATCCTAAATCGTTCGCGTCGCTCGTCATCCATCAGGCTGCACCTCTTCCCACTACCTCTTTCTGTCCCTGTCGATGCCAATCCCATACGCTGTCTGCCACTGACTTGTGCTGTTCATAGTACGTCTGCGCGGCTGTTGCAATTGGTCCTCCGCCATAGCACAGTCCATCTGCCCGATACAGCACAAGCGCCTGCTCAGGTGCGATCCCACGCTGCGGATGGTCAAAGTCGACTCGCAAGTAGCAGTTACTGCCCGTCGCTTCTTGCTCGTCGTCCAGCAGTGCCCCGTGCGCTGTCGGCCAGTCAGACAGTGTACTTGCACCTGCTCGCGCATCGGCCCTCGAGACGAGCGACACTGTGCACTCGTCGAGCTCTTGACGGTACCGGACCCGGTAGAAACAGCGCAGACGGCCACCACTTGCAGACAGCTCGCGCGGCACTTGTCCAGCGATCCAGTTGAACTGCCCCATTGACGCAAAGAGGGCGTCCGAGAAGAGCGCGGGGTGGCGCGTGCCTTGGGCGATCGTCACCGAGTGGTCGCGCTGGTGCTTCCCCACGACAAACCACTTCGCTGCCATGCCAGGCACCCGGGCGCCTTGGCCCACTGTGTAGGCCGCAAAGCCCTGATGCGGGTGCAGCCGCGCGCCTTCGAGCGAGGAAAAGTGCCCGTGCTGCTGCTGCACGTACTGGTGGATAAAGTCGGCAAACTTGCGCTTGCCAATGAAGCACATGCCGACCGAGTCGCGCTTTGTGGCCGTGCAGAGCCCTTCCTGCGCTGCGAGGCGACGCACGGCCGTCTTGTCCATGTCGCCCAGTGGGAACAGCACGTTGGCGAACGCGCTGCCGCTGACGCTCGACAAGAAGTAGCTCTGGTCTTTCGACCGGTCGCGCGCCGCATACAGACAGCGAGCCGCGCTCCCTGCTTCGACCGGCCGCAGGGCAGCGTAGTGACCCGTCGCAACGTAATCGGCCCCTATCATTTTGGCGTAGTCAGTAAAGGCCTTGAACTTGATCTCGCGGTTGCACAGGACATCGGGATTCGGCGTCAGCCCTTGCGCGTAGCCGTCGAGACAAGGCGCAAACACGTGGTTCCAGTACGACTGCACCAAGTTGACCTGCACATGGCAACCGAACGGCACAGCACAGGAGCGTGAGCTACTGACGCGCATTTGCAGCGCCTGCAGCGCACAGACTGCACACACAGTGGCAAGCAACCGACAAACCCACCCGCTTGGCTTCAATGTTGAGCTGCTGACAGACGTTCTCGACGTCGCTGTAGTCTGCGTCGATCGGGCACGCGGCACGGCCTTGTTCGTCGCTCGGGTCCCAGTTCTGCATGTACACGCCCGTGACGTGGTACCCCTGACGCTTGAGCAGCACCGCCGCGACGGACGAGTCGACGCCACCAGACATGCCCACGACCACATGGTTACCGGACGTCCTGCAGTCCAGTGGACTGGTAGCAGCGGAAGTAGCGGCTGTGGTGGTCCCGGCACGCGAACAGCAGTGTCTGCTTCCTGCCGGTGCAGACCTTCTGGATACGTTGATGACCAGCGCTGGGCAATGGCCACGTCGGGCTGTAGCCACTGTGACGCGACGCCATGGCCGCCATAACATCGCGGACGCTGCAACTGTTCTCCACCAATGAAGGAAGCAGACGGTGCGACGTGAGACATGACAATGAGGATGATCGGAGCTCCTCATTCAATAGTGGGTGTGTGTGTGAGGTTTTTTACCACGGCGACAGCCCAATGAGACGAGTCCCCAGAGCGGAGAACGTGTGCACGGACAAGTCCTCCGTGACACGAGGGACGTCTGCGTCAGCTTTTTGCCAATGGTCGACTGGCACAAACCGTGCCTTGTACCGGCGTAGCTGCTCGCGTGCGTACGTGCGGTTCATGGCCGTAGCGGGCAGAAACCCCGTGTAAATGACCTCACGTGGACACGTGCCCACGTGCTTGTAGCTGTTGGCATGTGGAATGCGCCAGTCAAAGAAGATCACACTGCCGGCTCGACAGCTGATGTGGCGGTAGCGATCGATTACCGCACGGTCCTCTTGCATGCGCAGCGGCGAAAAGTCGCCAAGACAGACCTGCGGACGACCGGCAGAGCTACCGAAGTCTTCTTCGACCACTGCTGCTGTTGTTGCTGCTGCTGCTGCTGCTGCTGTACCCACTTGCTGTCTAATAGCCGCATAGGCAGCGAATTCCTTGTGGAAACCCGGCACGGCTTCAAAGCCACCAGTGTTGGGCTCGGTGTTGTCGGTGAGCACAGTGATGCACTGAATCGGTCGCCACCGAGGGACGCGCTTGCCCGAGTCGTACATGTTGGACGGACAGCAATCCCAATGCGGCGTCAGGGACCGCTGCATCGGTCGCGCCTTCTTCTTGTTGCCGTCCTTGGCTGCAAACTTGATCGAAACATCGTCTGGCACGCGGTAACAGACGCGGTTGATGTACATGTATCCGCGTTTGCCATCAAAAGGTCCGAACGGGTGCTGAAAGTCTGGATGGTTCTGCGCGTACGTTGCTTGCCACAAATCCGTCATAGCTGCAAACACTTGTTCGTGCTCGGCCACCTTGAGTCGCCACGACGGATAAAAGAGGTCTAGGATGCCACCAGCACCGCCTGTGCTCGATAGCTTTTTCAGGTTGGCCCCCGTCTCTTGCAGATTCTCGTGGTCCTATCCATGACGTCACAACATAACACACAACGACCTCGCATGTCACAACCCGATTCGACGCAATACAGTTTGGCAGCACCATAGCGGCGACACAAAATGACATAATCGTCGCAAATCGACCCAAATCGTCGCAAATCGACCCAAAGTTTTCCCACGCACCACACCGTACTTGGCCAACTCACTGTGCAGTCCCTGACGCGCTTCTGCGACTTGGTCTGGCGTCAAGACATCTGGCACCACGAGCACGCCTTGCTCAACAAACTGCTGGATCTGGTCGTCCGTCAGCAAGCGCTCAAGCACTGTCACAGCGCGGTCCTCGCCGTCGATTCTCTCGTCCATCGCTTTCGTCCTAGCCTGCTGCGACCTAAACCAATGGCATTCGTTCTCTAGGATGTCGGACCCTCTATAGGTTCTCCGCAATACAGTATCGCTATCCTGCATCTTCCCACCGACCATCCCCTCCTTTTTTCCGAGCTTGAAGCAGGTAAACAACGAATCAAACCAATCCCAATGCTACGCAATGTGCTCATTATGGCGTCCAGTGGCATCGTCCTCTTCTCCAAAGAGTATGCAAACGCAGTTGCTCAGGTACGACTTGGGCGCACATTGTGCTGTGGTTCATTACGTACACTGTCCGTCGACTGCTACGACCCATCGACACAGAGTGCTACGGACTCTGGGGGCGAAGCGGCGAGGAGCTCTACGTATCTCTCTAAACGAACCTAAATGTTCGGGAAATGTCGCTAAATTGTTCCCTTTTTCTCGCCTGTAGCCCCGACTCGTCGGTTCCCTCATCACGGCCATGCTCGAGTTTTCCACGAAAGCCATTGGCGCTCCAGTGTCGTACATCCAAATGTCGTCAAGTGCGTGGATTGTTTTTTTTCGCTCGTTGATTGAGCACCAAACGCTCTGTCGCTCCCGTCTCTTGTGTTTTTGTATGTGATGGATTGTTTCCTTGATGTTGTTTTCTTTGTTTTTGCTTCTGGTGGTGCTTCTCTGTGGTGGTGCGGTAGTTGCTGCCACAGTGGTCACGAATGACAAGCACAAGGTCTTCTGTGCCTTGTTCCACGACCCAACGGACGGCGCGAGTTTCTCAGCGTTCGTGGCCCAAGAGTTGCTAGCAGCGTTCATTGCGCAGCACGGAGAGGAATTGGGCAATGTCGGACACAACTTGCGGGACTTTCACCGCTTCCAGTACCAGATCCTGACCGTCGTGCGTGACTCGGTCAAGCCCGTTGTCCGGAAATGTGCGTAAATAACGTGATGAGCGCGTCGATACCTGTCTGAAACAAGGCGGCCTTTTTTTCCATGACGTGGTGACGAAGGTGCTCTGCTGCTGATGACGATGATGACGTTGTTGATGATGATGTATGTGGACGCAGTGCAAAAACAACGCGGTATTCTGAAAGCCATGCTCGTAGTCAACGGCGCAGTGACGTGCGCGACAGGCGACGTCGATCCGATTGGCGTGTTGGCGAATCTTCAAGCGCTCGTGAACAGCTCGATCGATATGAGTACGTTGCATGGAGTCACTCGACCGTTTTTCATCCGTGTGCAGTCACGCACACTCACATTGTTGTTGTCAATGGTGCAGTGTCCTTTTCGGGTGACGACGTCAATGCCATGACGATCCAGAGTGGACGCAACTCGTGCATCCAAGTAAGCGTTGTCGATGGCAACGACGTGTTGGTCGTCGTATTCAAGAAAGGCCCACATGCTACCAAGAACACGGCGGCAATCGAAGAGTGCGTTCGCACCTTACGTCACGGTACGAAACGCAAAAAAGTTCGCGATGATTTGACGCGCCGATACATGGACATGATTGTATTGACTTTCTGCTGTCGTGCTTGCCCCGTGTGCTTGTGCTCAACGTGTTTGCCATGGCTTTCGATTGTTGTAGTGTGCGTCTTAGCACGCACGCTACAACAAAACTCTCGGTGATAGTGACTGCGACTCTCGGGTTTGTCGGAGGGTAGTAGGTAGTAGTAGTTGTACTACTACTGCTACTGCAGCAAACGTACAGCCCATACCTGCACATTCTAGTCAAAGCCCGCGAATACCTTGTGTCCGAATATTCGCTTTGGCTGTTACAAGATGTAAACACAAACAAAGGAATGTATTGCGTGTGTCGGGTGCTCTCCTGCAACGTTCTTTTGCCAGCAAGTGACCCACTCACCAGTGCTCCTGTTGCCGCTGCGCAGTGGACATCGCTCAAACATGAGCTCTCTCTATCTCTCTCTCGTGTTTCTCTTCCTCGTCTGCTGACCACCGACTCCGACTTAAACTCATTGCATAGCGAGCAACAAGGCACCGACAACGACACGCAGTGGTGTTACTATAGGCACACGCGTTCGACTGCCGATCGCGTAATCGAAGAAGAAGCTCAGACCCGATCTCAGTAGTCCAAGCTGCTCTCCACGTGCCAGACAACGTGTCACGTCATGTCGTGTCTTCGTCCAGCCATAGACAGTTTGTTTACTCACGTCGATGCGAATCCAATACCCTCTGAACGAGACGAGAGGCGTCTGTTTTGATTACGGGACACTCGAGCGCAAAGAGCTCGCCCGACGTCGGTGATCAGCCAATCACATTGCAAGACGAGCCACTCCTGCGTCTCATCTGTCCCTTTTCGCGGACATTCTGACGACCACAATCCCACGCCATCGTACCGGCTATACCCCCTACCCGCTCTACCAAAAAAGACGTGACAACAACGAGTCCCACCATTCATCGTCGTCTTCTTTTGTTTTTTATTATTATACGTATCGTTTGAATCGTAAATAAATATATAGATAAATGAATAAACAAATAAATAAATAAATAAGTTCGTAAACACAGCCGTCACAATCAAAAGCACGAGGAGCTCTTCGTCTATACGTCGTCTCGCTCCGTCTATCGCTCTTCTCGCTGGCCGCGATGCACCGCTTCGCTGCTCGTCGGGCAGCGTTCGTGCCACCGTCACACACCGTCTACCGCCACGTCCTGCACTGCAGCTCGACACTTGCGGCCGCGACGGGACCAAAGCCACAGAGTTCAGCGCTCTACACAGTCTACAAACAGTGTGTCCATCGCGGCGACGTGACGTACGACCCCATTCAGGTGCGCGCGGTGCAGTACTTGGACGTCTTGTTCAGCCATGTGGTGAAGTACGAGGGACCGGCTGTGGACGTGGTTCGAGCCCCGCCACGCTCGTGGATGTCGTGGTGGCAGACGCTGACTGGCAATAAGGACAAGACGGAAGGGAAGACAGAGACAGTAGAGGCGCCCAAGGGACTGTACCTCTATGGCGGCGTCGGCTGTGGCAAAACGTTCGTCATGGACATGTTCTTTGACCACGTGCCGGTCGAGCACAAGCTGCGCGTACACTTTCACGCGTTCATGCTGGATATCCACAAGCGGATGCACGAGCTGCGGCAAGCGGGTTGTCGGGAAGATCCGATTCCACTGATTGCTAACGACCTGCTGGCCACGAGCTGGCTGCTGTGTTTTGACGAGTTCCAGGTGACGGACGTGGCGGACGCGTTGATCTTGCAACGGCTCTTTTCCGCGTTGCTCAAGCGAGGAGTGGTCATGGTCGCAACTTCGAATCGACCACCGAGTGATTTGTACAAGAACGGTCTGCAGCGAGAGCTGTTTATGCCGTTTATCGACTTGATTGGAGAGCGCTGCAACGTCGTGTCGCTGGAAGACTCGACGATAGACTACCGCGTGCTGAAAGGGGCTGTCCATGGTGCAAACGTGTACGAGTACCCGATCACGCAGGACACGCGCGCATCGTTTGATTACGAGTTTGTCGCCCACTGCGGTGGCGAAGAAACGGTGACGACCCATGTGACCATACAAGGACGCAACGTGCACGTTCCAGAAGCTGCTGTGAGAGCTGGGGTGTGTCGCTTTTCGTTTATCGATCTGTGCGAGAAACCGCTTGGCGCTGCCGACTACTTGGCGATTGCCGAAGCGTTTCCCATTGTGTATATAAGTGACATCCCCTTGCTCGATGTCGAGCGGCTGAATCAATTGCGGCGGTTCATCACATTTGTCGACTGCATGTACGATCGGGGAGTGCGGGTACGTTGTGTTGCCGTGACGTTATGGTATCTGTGCGTATGTGTGGAGCTGATGTCCGCTCGCGTTCGGTTCTTGTCCACTAGTTACACTGTCTCGCAGTCACGAGCCCAGAGCGTCTGTACCACGTCGACGCTGACATAAAGTCGCACGTGGACGAAGCGTTCGCATTTGACCGCACGGTTTCTCGCTTGCTTGAGGTACGCGAGTGCTTGTACATTTCGATCTGCAGTCAACAATGATGCTTATACGTTTTATGGATTGCTACAGATGGGAAGTGAGGCGTACTTGCAGGCACATAGCGGTCGACATGGAAACGGTCAATCTCGTGAACGTTCGTTTGTAGCGTCTGGCAGCGCTGGAACTGCCAATGGGTCAGAAGAAAGTGTAGACGAAGATGAGCAGCTCCAGTTGAGCTGCTAGTGCAGGAAAGTAGATACATCGCAATGAGTGCAACAAGCAAGTGCTGCTGCTCGTGAGTTCATCGGACAGCGTAACAAAACCAATGCAGTCGTTAGAGTTGCTGGCTTGCTACCTACTGTCTTGCGGTGCTCAAGGGTACTTCAGCTGGATCGTGGCTGATCGAGCATGGTCGAAGGTAAGCAAACAATTCCAAAACGCGTTCCTTGAGATGCGCTGAAATGATAACACTCGGAACGAGGCCGTTAGTCTATGGCAACTACTTGCAGTCTTCAGGCTGAGGGTAACAGATGTAGATGCAGCTGTTGCTTTGTACAAGACTATACAATTGTTTGCCAGCATAATGAACTTTATTTCACCACAGGAACGTTTGCCTGATCGTCGATCAAGTTGTACCGATGTACACCAGTGACAAAACGTAAACTATGATCTATAAACTTGTAACGAGCCGACGTCACTCTGGACAAAGTCTGAGACCTCTTTCAGATATGCGGGACCGATGATCTACATACGCATGACTCATTTGTCAGTGCAAGTGCTAACTGCCCCTTATCAGACATGTCGCCATGGAGATCAGCAGCGTCTTATGATCGGTAGCGACTGTTTTGCTCTTGTTCTATGCAACTGTATTGACATGCTTTACGTGCACCATACTTGACGAGGACAGTTGGCGTCGATAGGAAAATGACGGCGGCACCGCTTTCGGTGCTTGCTATACACATCAATGTTGTTGTATCTGCCAAGCAATCAGCATCGTGGTGACTGAAAGTGCGAGTCGTTTGTCGCCATCTTGTTCATCTCGTGACCACTTTTTCTCTCTTCCTCATCCCCGTTATCAATTGATGACTGCATATTTGTTGTACAGTCGTGATCACCGAGACTGGCCTGAGCAAGACGTGTGCAGTTGCAAGCAGAACGAGCTGACAGGAATGACGAGCGCAATCGCCAATTGTCTGTATCGAACGCTAATCGCAGGCTTCATTCAGACCGATGCGCGCCAACGTTGAGCGTACTCGACGGATCGCATGCTTGTAACTTCGAGCTGACTGAGGTCAGTGAGCAGCCAAGTGTGGACTAACGACTGCAATCGCATAACGGATATCATGCTTGCAGCCACCAGCATGCAGACCCTTTGCTCCCGTTGTCAATATTCGTCACCTTCCACTTCACGCCACGTCATGTGGAGCTCAGCCCACCGCAAAAAGGATCAATGCGACTGCATCACGAGTAGCCCTGACTCTTGCTCGAATCCAAGCCCATATCCCCACCTCAGCAACCTTGCGTAGACAGATGGTCGACTTACTTGACGCAGCGAAGCTCAGAGAGGCCCAACGCTATTTTCTCACTCGTGGTCTCCATCCCACCTGACAATCGATCCGAACGACGCTTTCAGACTATTTCCGCGCAGTCGCAAGTGGCCCATACTCATTCGTAAGCCGGAAGGCCATCGTCATCTTTGTACAGTCGGCGCCGCCTTTTTCCAGTGGGCTCACCAAAAGGTATCAACAACTTCACATTCAAACCTGTCTTTTGATCCAGAACCACTCCTTGGACCGCGATCCTTGGCCACAAACAGCTTCTCGATAAAGTCTAGGATCGCCGATGACCACCGCTTGGCATAGTAACCGAATCGAGTAAGTCACACTACGGAACCGCCTGAGTTGTACATAGTTTACATGTGTTCACATCCTTTCGCATACGCAGCATCATGACTGCATCACATCAAACGTCGTTGCAGCAGATCCTCTAAATGGAGCCGCTGAGGACGATCTGGACAGTCAGGAACACCATGAAAGCAAATGCAGTGGCTGATATCGTCGTGGGAATCGACTTGGTGTCCTCAAGCGACTCGGGCAATAGCTCCTGCACCGCCACGTATGCCATGGCGCCGCCTGCAAATCCCAAACCACAAGGCAAGATCGGCAGCCACTGTTCAACAAACAGGAAGGCTGGTACAGCAAACACGGGTTGCGGCACGCTAGACATGATGCACCACAACACAGCGTAGAAGACACTCAGTCCACGCGGCACGAGCGACAAGCTGATGGCCACGCCTTCGGGAATGTTGTGAATCGCCATGGTCATGGTCACAATGTGGCCACGACGGATGCCACCTTCGCCACCAAACGACACACCGACGCCGATCCCTTCCGACACGGAGTGCAGCGTCATGACCGCCATGATCAGCAGCGCCTTGCGCGCGTCAATGCCATTTAGTCCACACACGGACACGTCGTCATAGTCTTCAAGAAACACCTTGGTGAACTTGATGAACAGGACACCCAAGAACGCGCCCAAGCAGAGGCGGTAGGTCACGGACACTTGGTAGTCCACTGCTTGAGGGAGGTACCATCCTTCGTAGAACAAACAGCCCGTTGCGGCCATCATCATGCCGGCGGCCAAGCCATTGCAGATCCCGAGCCAGTACTTGTCCATGTCTCGAATCCAGTAGAACGGCAGTGCCCCGAGACCAGTGGCAACGGCAGTGAGCCACCCACACCACCACACGTAGTACACGTTCTTCCCGCCCCGGCCGTGATATCGCTGGTGCATAGGGTGGCTGTAGAACGTAACAAAGAGCATCGCTGCTGCCAGTGCATAGGCGAACCTTCGCGTGCGAGCCGACGTCCCCCCGACCAGAGGTTTCTCCCCACTCTCCTCCGCCTCTTTCGCACTGTCTTCTGCCCGTCGTTGGCCCACTGTAGCGACGTCGTGCGACGGACCTTTGGGCGTCCGGTGTGTCATCAGATCGCAACTGTTGTTCGCGGCAGTGGGGACGCCAAACGTCTCGAGGTCGTTGACCGCCGGACACGCGGCGCTGGTCTCCATGTGACCTGACGGGGGATGAGTCCAAACAGTCGCTGGGGAGCGTCAGAGAGAGAGAGAGAGAGAAGAACAGCTGCGGACGCACAACGCGTTGCGTCAGGACGTGGCAAATTCGATACTGACTCCTCTCGCCCTCTCTCATATATTGTGTAACCGTAGAGTGGTTCGTGTCGCGCGTGACGGATAGGAAATACATCAAGTTCGACACACCTTTTTTTTGCATCGAAATCGCAGGGACGTAAGTGGGTTTGCCCATTCACGTCCCAGGGCATTGGTGCGGTAATCTTCACTTGGTGCGGTTATCTTGACTTGATGCGTTTGTGGTGCACGGTGGTGGATTATTGATCGACACTGTCGTGTTGTAGTTGGCGACAAGCCACGTTTTGCATGTGGTTGAGCTGGTTGTTGCACTCTTGACTTGCGCTCGGCATGACCGGGCAAAGGACTACTTATGATGATGTTGGCGGACATCTCAACGATTGAGTTGAGCCAGTTGCTGTCAAAGCAGTCAATGGGTTCACGTCACTCATTTCCGATGTCATGTACAGCAAGATCGGACTTGCAAGGTACGTACGGAAGACGCTTAAGGCAACGCGTCGTACTCTACCAGTGCCAACACCGTCAAGAGTGAAGCGACTGGTCGTCGCCTCGTATACCGACCTGCGCGCGACCGAAATGTCGGAACGTGAGTTTCTGATGCCATCCGATCGTCGGATACTATCGATCCCAACAAACGGTGCGACCGCTCAATGTGAACGTCACTGATAAAAGTATGACCCATCGACGCCGCCAATCTATGGCTTTGCGTGGCGATGCAGCTCTCGCGCAACTTGCAAAGTGCGTAGTAAAAGGTCGCATGAACGTCGAATGGGCGCACGAACGTCGACGGTGGGTAGCAATTAGGCACTTTTAAATTAAATCGGGTCCTGCGAATTACTTTGTAGCGCGAAGACGACACCACTTGCAACGTCAACGCGGAGATGGTCTGATGATGGTATGCTAGCTACTTGATGACTATCAATTCATTTACGCGCTATTCTGCCACCGTTGGAAGGTCAAAGATCGAGCTTAGCATCAACGATGTAGGTAAGCTCGATTGCTCTTGCTTTGACATCCGTCGCAAGCTAAAGTATCAAGTGAGGTCATGAACCAGAGTATACGTAAGCGTCTCACGAATGGTCTGAAGCCAGTACAGCAGCAACATCTCTCTCGACTACTCAACTTATACTCAACATGAAGTCCCAGTCCTTTTCCGTCGATCGCATCAACAACTACTTCATACACCTGCGCCTCCACACTTAGCTCGATGAAAAACGATACGCGCTTTCTGATTATCTTTTTACCACAAGCGCAGTATCTGGATTTTCCTTTTCCATCTCAGTGCTCGTTTCTAATTGGCCAAAACACGCATCCGTTAGCCACACGTACCCAATCACGCGTCGCATCGCGCCCCTCGCCCACACTTTCCAACGCCACGCAACATGTCGACCCTCACCAGCGCCGACATGGGCGAACTCAAGCGCCCGACCACGCGCGTCCACGCGCCTCCTGGCGGTGGGTCCACGTGGAGCTTCGGCGGCGACGCACCCGCTGCACCGCTTGACCATCGACGCGTCAAGCCGTCCTCTGCACAGCAGCAGGTCCAGCCCGATGTCCAGATGCACTCTCCCCGTGCAGCTGCTACTGTTCCTGCTGCAGCAACTCCACCGCCAGTTGATCCAGCGAAGGCGTCTATGCGTGTGGCTTTGGTCAAGACGAGCAGCGACACCGAGATCGTGGACCGTGTGGTGCAGAACTGCTTTGAGAAGCTCGAGGGCTCTTTTGTCCGCTCCGAGACGTTTACAGTGGCGTCGCTCGAGCAGCTGCCGTACGCCGCCAACAAGTTGACTGCGTTCGGAGGCTTTGACGCCGTCGTTTGCTTTGGCTTTCTCAACCCACAGGACGTGCAGTTCCACGCCGTGAGTGCGGCCTTGACGCAGAGCTTCATGGACATCAGTGTCAAGAACGCGCGGCCTGTCGTGCGTGCAGTGTTTGTTGGCGAGCCTCGTGTGGCATCGGTCAAGGCGAAAGGAGGATGGGGCGCTGAGTTCGCCGACGCTGTCGTGTCACTAGCTGAGCTCGTTGAGCTCAAGTAAACGAGAGTCAGAGAGAGCGAGCGAGAGTCCGACTGAAGTGCCCGCGGTGACGGTACGCAATGCACCCACTACACTCGAGGACAGCTTCGTGCAATATATGTGTGTCACACGTAATTACATCGCGTGGTCCACTGAACATGCAAACGGTCAGCGCTCGTTCTATTTCAGCCAATCCGAATCGAGCAGCAGCGTTCAGACGTCCGCACGGCACGTCAGCCGGCACTTCCCCTCTCGCGCGATCTTCTTGGAGGATGTCGACCCTCACGAGCGCCGACATGGGCGAACTCCGACGGCCCTCGACGCGCGTGCACGCGCCTCCTGGCGGCGGCAGCAGCTGGAGCTTCGGCGGCGATGCGGCGCCTGCGCCAGCGAACCGTAGACACGTGTACCTGACGCAGACAGTCGCTCCCTCGATAGACTCTGTTTCGCTACAGAATCAGACGCATAATCAGACTCAGACTCAGACGCAGACGCAGACGGAGAGTGCATCGACGGACTCTGTTGTTCAGGTGCGCATTGCAGTGGTCAAGACCAGTCAAGACGCAGAGATTGTGGACGGAGCCGTGCAGAATTGCTTGGACCAGCTCCAGCGCGAGGCTGGGGCCGAGGCCGTGAGCTGCCAGACCTTTACGGTCGCAACGCTCGAGCTGCTGCCGTATGCTGCCAACAAGTTGACTCGATCGGGGGCTTTTGACGGCGTCATTTGCTTTGGGTTTCTCAACACACAGGACCCGCTGTTCCTCGCGCTGAATGCTGCGAGACTGCAGAGCCTCATGCAGATCAGTGTCGAGAACGTGCGGCCCATTGTGCAAGCTGTGCTTGTAGGTGAGCCTCGTGTGGCGTCTGTGAAGGTGCGAGGAGGGTGGGGAGCCGAGTTTGCGCACGAGATGGTACCGCTGATCAACTTGGGCGGCTTTGTTGGACCCACGGTGCACACGGCATCCGGTGCACTCGTGACAAAGCACTTTGAAGTCAGCCGTGGCAATGTGCTGCCTGCAAAGCTCCTGCGTGGGTCACAGACGGTGCAGGACTCGCTGAAGAGTTTGAGGAACTCGCTGTATCTCCATGGAGCAAAGGGTGTGCGAGGACTGGGCCGTAAGTTCCGTATCGTTGACGATGATGGCAACCGGTCATTGTGTCTCGACGAGTTTCAGAAAGCCATTCGCGAACATGCGCTTGAGCTCAGTGAAAAGGAGGTGGAAGAGCTGTTTTGCTTCATTGACGCCAACAAGTCGGGTGGCGTGGACTATGACGAGTTTTTGCTGGCTGTGCGTGGTGAGCTGAACGACCGGCGCACGCAATTGGTTCTTGCGGCGTTTGCGGTTCTCGATCGTGACGGTAGCGGCGTTGTGGACTTGGATGATATCAGAGGCAAGTACAGTGCGAAGGAGCATCCGGACGTGCTCCAAGGTCGCAAGACAGAAGACGCAGTGCTGCTGGAGTTTCTCGACACATTTGATGGCGGCGAGAAAGACGGCAAGGTCCACCCGAGCGAGTTTGTGCGCTACTACGCCAACGTGAGCGCGTCCATCGATGACGACGACTACTTTGAGCTAGTGGTTCGCAACGCCTGGCACATGAGCGGCGGTGAAGGATGGTCGGCCAACACCACTTGTCGTCGTGTGCTTGTGAAACATGCCGATGGCACGCATACGATTGAGGAGGTGAAGAACGATCTTGGCATAGCTATCGGTAACGTTGAGGCCGTCCGTGCTAACCTCCAGGCACAGGGCATTGACGACATCCAGTCCGTGAGCACAGCAGGCGACGTCCAGACGGAAAGCGACACGGCGAACAAACGCTCGAACGACAGTTTCCACCCGCAGATTGCGCGCAAGAAACAGCACGGGGCTGGCGCGAGCTCCATCATTTTCGGCTGAGGCATGCCGACCTCGCATCGGCAGATGTTGTCGTACTCGCATAAACGAAGAAAACAGTGCATTCATGCGTAGACCGTTGCTATGCGTTCCATTCCATTTTGCCTATCTCAGACGTCTGCCCTACGAAACTGTCCAAGACATGCATATAAACTAACGCTACGAGCTCGTACCATGCAGCTAATTCTTCTGGGGTTGTGTGCCTCAACGTGTTGTTCGTTGTCCTCACTCCGGATCAGAGTATATTAAAGTATGTTGTATTGGCGATCATCGGCACACAACGACCCAGCTACATGCACCACACATGCAACATACAACACACACCCGTACCTCTTCGAAACGAGAGATGTCATTCACATACAACATACAACACACCTCACCGTATCCCCAGCGCAGCACCCTCCTGCCATTCACAGCAACACCCACACGCACACACACAATCAAAGCACTGCAACACTCGAGAAACCACTCGTCATCGCTCTGCAAAAGACAGATGTCCCCATGATCCTATTTCGTTGAGTTCACCAGCCCAAGTCAACAACAAATGTCTCGTCGGTCGAGCGTAACCCCTTACACTCTCGAGACCCATCCGAGTCGTCCTGTCCAGTACCTCACGCCTAGTTTTCAGGAATGTCCAGCTCGCCCTCGGTGATCAGACGCTGAATCTCCGTCGGGGCTTCACCGTTGACCGTGCAGCCGAGCGACGCAGCCGTGCCCAAAATCTCCTTCACCGTGCCAGCCAGCGCACGCGCCATCGAGCGCTCGCGCATGATACGGGCCACACCAATGACTTGGTCCAAGGACAGGTTGCCGTCGTGCTTGATGTTCTTGACCTTCTTGCGGTCCCGCGGAGGCTCTTTCAGCTCCTTGACCAGCAGCGACGACGCACTGGGGATCAGCGTCACGGTCGCCTGACGGTTCACAATGGTCAGCTTCACCGTCACGTTCATGCCTTTCCAGTCCTTCGTGGCCTTGCAAATGTCTTCGCCAATTTTCTTGGGGGAGAGACCGAGCGGGCCGACCTTCGGCGCCAGCGCCGACGCAGGGGCAACCTCGCCGCCCACCGTTCGCAGAACGACGATCTTTTCTTCGCCAGCTGGAGGTGGAGCGCCCATGGTGTTTATAGAGGATGCAGTGTGTGGGAGGGAGACGGAGACGCTTGAGCTGTTGGGAGCGAACGCGAATGGCTGCGCGGCGCACGTGGCGGCGATCGTAGCTCCTCGACCAACCAACGCGGTCGCAGTAAGTACGAAACGTCAAACAGCCGCTGACGACCTGCGATACAGGTGTCGGTGGATGCCCAGTCATGGGAATATGCGATACGGTGAGTCCGTCGCGCAAAAAGGACTGGAGGCACTGTCAGAATGCGACATAAAGCTACGCCCGAGCGACAGAAGTCGAAGCAGGCGATGCCAGCGGCGAATTCACTTTGCATCGTTGTTCTGCTCACGTATACTGCTGGGCTTATGCTGCACGACGATCTGCTCCATGTACAGAACACTTGTTTTTTCCACCTGCAACTTGTCTGATCCTGAATGTGTCGAGCCAATTAGGGAGTACATACCTGTTTGTAAATACTGTAGTTACTGTAGATCTAGCAGTGATACCCTTGCGGGGCGGAATGGTTTTCCATCCGTCGTGCGATCAACATGAGCAAGAACTTGTCAAGAGCTCAGAAGTGCACGTCGTTGCCTTTGCTGATTGAAAGTGACTCGATCGACCTTGTAAACCTTCTAGACAGTGGTGAAGGTGGTGTCAGATCTCGTTCATGGCGTATACCGGCGCTGCATGAATAAAGCTATGAAGTCTGGAGTCTAGTTATGTTGTCATGAACTTGCGCTGACATTTTGTGCAAAAGGACACCTGTACGATGCAACCGGCACGAACCTCACATGAAAAGTGGGCCTGGCAGTAGTTCGGTTATGCGTTACCACATCAGAACGTCGTCCGGTCATTTTGCTGCAATGTCCGCAGAGCCATCCGCTAACCTGCCTTTCCACAGAAGGCAAAAGACAGCGTCAACGAGGCCCTCGGACAAGTTGAAGGTGGCTGCGCCAGCATGTCGACCAGCAAAGGGTCCAGTGTCAACTGACGTTGCGTCAGCGCAGAATTCTGATCGAACCGAAAACAAACATTAAGACGAAAGGATTGCTGGAGGTCAGCTGACGCGACACATGCGACGAACAATGCCCATTCGCAGCAGAGAAGTTGTATGAGGTGTGTGCAACATGAGGTGTACATGCAACTCTGGAAAAGGAAGCAATCAGGCAACAGCTACGTACTCCAAGTATCGCAAACCTCTTTTGCACCAACAATGGCACCCGCAGCCAGCGGACCGACGTTCTGCGTGCAACAAAGCGTATGACAAAGTTCACACGATTGCATCGATGAGACGCACACGAAGATACGCAACTTGTCATCGAAGTCGAATGCGATGGCTATACCTCATGCGACGAGACAGCACCGTTGTGAGCTGGCGACAGACCTCACGAGGAAGCTTTGAAGTGCTTTCTTTCTAGATTACGAAGGCGCTTCATGTATCCCCGACTCGACTATTGTGGTGTGTTTCACGGTCCAAACCTTGCCGCCATGCACCAACATTGTGAAGCTCACGTTGCAAGCCTTCATGGCGGAAGAAAGATCTTCTTGCGCATGGTGGTCAGGCGTGCAGCAATGCACGCGTACGCGCCGTGTCCTTTCTTCTGGTAGAGAATGCACCCCTATGCGATTGATCGTAACTCGAGAGCAAGTTCGACTGCTCGCGTCCGATTCGTGCATGAGATCTACTAGACCCTCGATCTCTAGTTTCTCAGATAGACGACAGACCGCGAGAGACGTGAATGAGCTCGTGTTAGGATGACGCGCTGCCCTTCATTCAGTCGAGGTCACTTTCTGTCGAGCAAGTAGAGTTCACAGCAGAACGTTGGGCCTCTTTGGATGATGGGCAAGACACCTTTTGATGAACACACTATCTGCGTCTTCTCAGTCGTAGCGCATGACGAGCAGAAACTAACAATGTTTCGGCTAAGAGTGAATGATACGATGATCGTGTCGTGTGCCGCTCGCTCAGGTCGAACTCACGGAGCTACTAAGCTAAGCAACATCGGCAGATCGCAAAGGTCATCATGCTCAACATCCAAACGCTGGCACGTCCTACCAAAGTTGACATGGTGGAAACTACGACGTCCGGCATTGTCAAGACAAACGGTAGTGCTCTATCAGATTTATTCGACTGTTGCAAACCTTATACTTGAAGACAATGGATGATCCCATGGATGCGTCCGGTATGACGTGATCTCGGCACACACGGTACTACTGCCTCGGTGATTTCACCAATAAGTCGACCTGGCAAGCATGCTGCTCTGCAATGATAAGATCCTTCCTCACGTCGTCTAGCACGTGTTCGTGTACACATGTCAATAGCTGCATGCTGCTTGTGTGAGTAAGCCACTTCGGTATGATCATTAGCATTGACGATCTCAATCATTGCGTTGCCAGGCCTTCCGTTCGTCTTCACTCACACGTCTTTGCAAGACAAGAACGACTCGAGGATCCCCCGCTTCGATTGCCGACCACCATGTGGCCATTTGACGCACTACGTCAGCATACCACGAGCAACGACAGCAGTAACACGCACATTGACGAAAGCAATGGTGACAAGCGCCAGTGGAATATGTCCACAAGAAAGTGGAGTGAGCAAACAACTAAACCGTGCGCAGTCGGCTTCATGATAGAGCGAATCGGACTATGCCACGCTCAATGCGTAGGACAAACGTAAGTTGAGGCATACGATACATATAGCGATCCACATCTGGCGTTTCTCTTCGTCCAACTTGCTGCGTGTCTTCTCTTTTATTGGCATCCAGTTACGCAGTCTCTTGCGACTAAGCACCGAAACTCACAACTGCTGACAACGGCGTCATGTCGCCACACACATGAAACGAACGCCGCTTTCCATCGAACATTAATCACCAAACAGTTTGCACATCGTGCTTAGCACGCGAGATACCGTCGACATCGGCTAAGATGGCTAACGACTGTCGTGCATAATAGAGCTGTAGACCGCTCGAGGGCGTCAGCTCGCAATGTGGGATACGAGATGAGTACTGCGTCTCGACCATTGCATTCAGGACGAGATCTCGTACTGTTCACTGCATGCTTTTCGCTTGTCCTCCTTCAGCACGTTGCTGCATACACGTGGTGACAAGCCACGGGGCGATGTCGAAAGCCTCATCACGTTCACGGGGACACTTCCTATATATCTCTACAAGAGCGACGCGTCATCGGTCGTGTGTCGCTGGGAGAAGAAGCGCAGTAGACATCCAAGTTGCTTCGTAACCGTCTCAGTTGCGTACCAGATACATTCGCAGTCGACGTGTTCATCAGGTGTTGTCTAGGAATCGACATGTCTTGTTCGATGACGATGATATCTTATGTAATGTGCATGTGAAGAAGCTATCGCCATCGCACGTCAAGGGGGCACCACGTGCAGGGCATTGCACAGACGTATCCAGTGCACACACAAGTATTGCGAAAGCGGGAAGCAGAGCAAGTAGCGGTGCAAATCGCGATTGCTCAACGCACAGGTCAGCGGGCGTGACGTGCGAATGTGAAACAGACCGTCTGGACACATCTCGCTCGTCGACTGTGCCTCGCGCTGCACCAAAAGAGTTCGTCACCTGTCGAGATGGTACGCGCAAGACGACGAGACCGCAGGGTGCACCGAAAAGAGCTTACGCTGTCAAGCGCTGGCCAAGGCGTGGTCGAAGGAAGAAAGGAGAGAAGGACGTTCATGCAGGTATCAGTTGGGAACAACAAGGTGGGTAACTTCATTGCAGCCGACAGGAGGCCACGTGACCCTGAAAGGTCACGGACGCACCTGCTCGAAAGGATCCGTCGATGCAGCAGAACGGAGTTGAGCATGCGGGTGCCGTGACGAGTCGAGTCGACATTGACAACACACTCCATCGACGCAAGACATGAAGCCCCACGAAGCTGCGTGGCTGATTTAGCCCACAACAACTGTCACGCTTCCCTACTGTCGGACTCGAGGACTTCCGTGCTACCAAAAGTCTCTACGGGATCGAAACGCCCGACGTCATCTCCGTTCTCTGTCTATCCTTCGCCGCATCCGCTGGCGTGTGTCTTTTTTTCAATGGAGACGGCCGTTACGTGCGGCTGACGACCAACTTCGCTGCCTGCCAACTACTACAACTAACCTGCGTGCTCGGGGCTCCAGTCCACCGCAAAAGCACTCGAAGCTGTGTCTTTGGTCGCTGCAATTCGACTTCAAAACGCAATTACCTGTCCTCTGCACTTGCAATGCACGTCTCGACTGCAGTTCCCGACGGCTTTTCACATCGGCCGTCGAGCTTCCCAAGTCCCTATAGCAGCAGCGACAAGCGTCGCACGTGGACACCCGAAGACGACGCCGTTGTGCTTGGCTTTGTCCGGGACTACGGCACGAAACACTGGGCCAAGATTGGCCTTCTCTTGCCCGGGCGAACGCCCAAGCAATGCCGCACGCGGTGGCTCAACTTCCTCGACCCGAACATCAACAAGGCCCCGTGGCGGGCGGACGAGACCCAACTCATCTTAGCTGCGCAAGAGCGGCTGGGCAACCGATGGGCCGAGATGGCCAAGATGCTGCCCGGCCGGACGGACAATGCCATCAAGAACCACTGGTACTCGACCCACCGACGCCGTTGCCGTCACGCTGCAAAGTCATGGGGTCCCCTGGAAACCACTCGACCAGAGCGACGGCTGTCCCCGATGGCGACACTGCTGAAACGGGACCGCGTGCTGGTGTCAAAGACGTTTGCGTTGTCGATCACCTCTGCATGGAACGATACGGCTTCGACAGCGACGTCATCTCTCGACTCGTCGATCGGGTGTGACTCGAGACTGTCTTCGGTGTGGTCGCCCCAAAGGCTTTCACAGCGAGAGATGCAGGTACCAGAAGTGTACATGGCACTATCCAGGACGCTGCCTCATCCGAAGAACCGGTTCCGGGTGGATTGTAGATCGCCATCGCTGCTCGACAGTGCACCGCAGATATCGAGCGTGCTGAAGGTGGACCCGGGATGGCCGTATCAAGGACCAACGCTGCAGAATCAGCAGTCGGCGTGGCAACGACTACCGGGGCTTGCACGTGTAGAGGATGAGGTGTGTGTTCGCAGCCGGCGCATAAAGGTTGGGCTGGATACGCTTTCGGCTCAACAACGTCCGTGCGAAGAGAAGACCCGAAGGGTGGGGCAGTCGCGCGTAAACGTCTTGATACGACAGAGCGCTGCTGGACATCAACGCAGCAATTCAGCAGACCTGTTCCTCGACTGCGTGGAGATGCTCAACTTGGACCAAGAGGCGTGTAGTCCCCGCTGCAGTTCGACAGTGAGTGTTGTCACGAACGAGACGGACGATGAAGGGAGCGACCAGCAGCCGCTTGCACCGCGGACGACCAGTGGAAACCGCAAGCACGACACTACCTCAGTTTGGCAAAAGGTATCGTGGGGGCACGTGGACACGGACGAGGTGAGTGTGAGACCGACTGAAGACTGCTGCACGAAGAGCGATGCCCTTCCTGTACAGCTACGGCGAAGTCAGCTGGACAACTGAGGTGACGAGCAATGCACCGATCTTCAGACTGGTAGCGGTTTGCAATGAAGTGCGGACTAGCAAGCAGTCTACCGCTGTACCGAATGGAAACGATGCTCTCGGTTGCGGTCGACCTCGCTAGTGGATCTCTACTCTGCATGAGGAGTAAGTGCACACTTTGTTTGGGCACGGCTCTGACAGCACAAACCTGCATAGTTCTCATAGTCCGCAAGTGCCTCCGTACTGACAACGCCCCTCAATCTCTATAGTGCTCTGCTGCAAGGGACCTGGATGCGGGACAAAGAGCTCTCGTAGTGCATCGGGTCAGAGCTTGTGCCCTGTCGTGGTCAACTATGGATCACGACCGCCTGCACTGTAGAAAGCGAGTTACGCGGAGCACACGAGTTGAACATATCGACATCCGAAACGTATTGAAATGGTCGAACTTCATGACACAGAGCCGACAGTCTCGTTGCCGAGTTGACCACCCGCTTCGAACAAGCAGTTGGCAAAGCAGATCATAGTCGATGACGCACTGTTTAATACTGCAGTAGGACCGTTCGTTTGCAGTTGGCCTTCGAATGCATTCGCATCTGTCGAGAGATTGATCGCAACCATCGGGAATCGACGGGGTCTCGTTAAGTGAGGACCTCCGCTATAAGTGTTACATCGTCGGCCCCGAAGTCGCGCCCGTTGCTCACTGAGTCAACGACTAAGATCACCAGTTACGAGAGCTCGACGGGCAGCTGTGTCGGCTGGTGGCTGTCGGTGGTACGGGCGACAAGAGGTGAGCCTCTAGTGAACGGGAAAGAGAGCGAGCGAGAGAGAAAGCCATACGGTCTGTTGACCGCTACGGCAGACGTTTTGAAACGCATGACTCAACTCCTCGAGCACTCCACGAGATGGCTCCTGCCGCCTTTGAGGGCTTTGCCTGACCGGCTGCGGATTTGTAAGTTCTTCATTGTGACTGTACGCTGCTGTGGAATGAGGACTTGGTGGACTTCTACGGCCGTTTGTTCTGTGGATGCACGCTCCTGCTCCTGTGCGCTCGCGTCCTACTGGATGCATATTGTAGAAACGCCGATGGAGCAACCGATCTACCACATCCTTTTCCAGACCCGTTCTACATGTCAGCGGCATGGAGGGGGGATCAATGCTTGTTACCAGCGCACGCTCGAGGCAGGTGCCGATCAAAAGTACGCTGCTCAATATACCGCAGCAATGTAAACCCAAGAGCGATTGACATGGAGTTGCGCATGTACCTCGCGAATGCGAGAGAGAGATTGGTTTCAAGGTCAAACAGTTTGCGTACATAAAGACGAGCGATCATCCAAATATCCTCATCAACCAGTACAAACACGAGGGGCTGGCGCAATTACACAAGACCCGGCGTTCAGTCAAGCCTTGCGATGGACATCAATAGCATGCAGCCTCATGCATGTGCATGAGAGAAAACGGTACGAAAAGTGTCTGCAATACTCATGAAAGAGTGATAGATGCGCGATCGATTCAGGTGCTGTTGAGACGATATGATACATGGAGACAAGAAAGTCAATGCAATGACAGTGATAGTTCGCAATGCGTTGTCGCTCAAGCAAACACGTTGGAGCAACTGCCGGCGAAGGCTTTGTGAAGGACTTTGTGGCTTACGGCTCGAAGGAAAATAGGCCACACCTGTGTGATGCTCTTCTCATGAGAAGCCAATCGAAACAAATGTCGCGACCACTTCTAATTTATGAGCTGATTTGGAAGCTGTAAAGTCGACAGCGGATTCTTCTGAGTGAGCCGAAATATCCGAAACAACTATCCGAAGCTAAAACGCAGACATTCGTTTCGCTTGACGTCGTTTTATCGGATCTGCAACAGATCTAGTTATTATCTGGCTGTCTCAGTCTAAATTGGATACTTTGCACGTTTGCTTCGCTCTTTTATCCAACTGCGATTTGCACCGACCAATCGACAAGCAACACACTCTTGCGTGTAGTCAGCATAGACATGTCATAGCAATCCCGCATTTCGCTGCGAGGTCATATAGCACTTACCGAACTAAAGCAACGGAGAAGTTGCGACTCATTTGAGACTGGTGGAGTAGTTATTGTCACCAGCAACTGAGACCGTATGGTATCGTCCGTTACAACGTGTCGAAGTCGTACTGTAGTACTTCGCGTCAAAGATGCTATCGGTGCATTCGATCTTTGGTCTCGACAGTACTTGTGTACTATGGTCTTTATCGTCTACAAAGGATGCTTTCGTCGTGTAGCGTATTGGTAGTACCATTGATTGTCAGCTTCGTTGATTGTCTGGCTCGTCGTACTCTCAATCCCGAAGGCGTGTCGATGTCACTCTCTAGCGTCAAACTACGAAGTGATCGCCAGCAACCTCAGACTTGACAAATGGAGTGCGAGATCATGCAGTTGTGCTTTATCCTTCGACACGACTTGCCTCTTGAGCAGGAAGAACTATGCAAATGCAGTCAATGCGGTATTGCTGAAGTTTTGGGAATGACGATGCGAAAGTGAGGAGATACCGTCGTGGAGACAAGAAGCAGCACCAGTTTGTCGCATGTGTCAATGTGCATCAGTGCTAGTAGGCAGGTAGGGCAAAGTCTTTATACGAGCACAATGCGGACTGATAGCAGAGCAGGTAGTGCAAAGTCTTCAGGCAGGCAAAGTGCGGACTGATAGGCAGCTGACATATCGAGCTCGACGGGTGACAGAACATGGCAGCAGAAATCCTTCTGGTCAAGAACTGAGTCAGAGGTACTCGTGTGCTCATTGCAGCGCTCTGAAAATGCTTTAATCTGGTTAACACGCGGCTGCTGTCGAACATTTATCATTCTTTGCTCGGGCTGAGATCATATAAACTCTCTTGGACAGTAACGATACCGATGTAGCACAATCACGCTGGTACGACGCGCGCACAGCACAGAGGAGACTCCAATCTCGGGGTTTTCCGTCAGTCACTGGCGGAAGATTCTTGTCTGCACGGTACAGAGTGTAGCATTACCACGGACCACGGCCTTTGCGTCGCTCTCGCAGTTGGTGAGTCGACATGCGGCCAAAGCGAACGACCACTGGACGCGGAGCCTCTCGAAGTCGGTACAGCACGCGGGACAGTCCAAGACCACCCACCTCTTGCCCATTGACTGCCAAAATTACCACACCGTTCTGGATCTCGGGGTACCGCTTCGCTTCGGACCCCTCAAAGCACTCTTTCACAATCGCGTACTGCTTGCTCTCGTCTGCACCAAGTTTCATTCCAATCGCCTGCTGCTTGAACACAATGTCAAACACGTTTTCCATTCCCTCGAAAGCGTCCTGCGGGCCCGTGCGTGCCGGGAACAAGGTCGTGGCTTGTGCTGGCGTACCGCCAGCGGGCGCAGCCATGCGTTGAGGTCCACCGTATCCGTTCGTCAGCGAAGATCGAGTCGGGTATGCCGACAAGTCTTCGACACTGCTATCAGATCCCGAGTCGGAGAAACCACTCGGATCATGCTCGGGAGGGTACACCGGCGACGACGGGACCGTCATGCGCCGTCCGCCATGCGGAGGGTTTTGAATCTCTCTCTGTGCAGTAGCACACGTCGCGGAAGCGCTCGTTGAGCGGCCTCCTACCCCATGACCCTGTGCCGAATACCGTCTTTGTCCTGTTGCTGCTGAGTTCATCCGCTGCGTCTGTCGCCATGCGCTCTCCTGGTCGTACGTGCCCGTGACGTACGTGTGCACGAGCGACAAGAATGCGTCCTGGTCGTGCTTTTGCTTGTACTGCTCGGCCGACACGGGCGCGCGTTGGCCAACGAGGGCAAACGCATAGAGCTGCTGGAAAAAGAGGCCATTGGTCGCGTCCACGACGTCGTCCGACGAGCGCTCGAGCGGCCCCAGCGGCTTCGACCGAAGCCACGGGAACATGGCGCGACTGGGCGCCGCGTCGGTCGGCTCCCGGACCGCGCGAGCTTCGACCACGTCCATGGGCGAAATGGCGCTCCCAATGGACGCGTCCAAGTGCACCTCCTGGCGACTCGTGCGGTTGTACAGGACCTGGAGCTCCTCTTGGTCTTCGATGAGCGCCATCTTCTTCTGCCTCGAGCGCTGGATCGTCTTGGCCTGGAGCAGGAGCCACTTGGCGGTCTGGCGCGGGTCGCACGGAATGTCGTACGTCTGCGTGCACACAAAGAGTCTGTACATTGACACAGCGAGACAGAGATCGGTAACGATGGAGGTGGACAGATACGTATGCGGGTGAGTTGGGTGGTGCGTAATGGGGTGAGACTGTCGCCATGTGGGTCGTGGGCGGGCGGGCGTACCTGACGGTTAAGCTTTCGCCCATAGTGCGGGCGTTGCGTACTGTAGTGGCGCGTTGCAAAGTGGACAAGTGGGGCGATGGGTGGAAAAGTGCTTTGTGTATAGTGTGTGTATAGTGTGTGTCTGTATATCTGTCTGTGTGTCTATGTATCTGTCTGTGTGTCTGTCCTGTGTCAGTGTCAGTGTGTGTGCGAGAGAGAGAAAAGACCGCGGGGGTCTTTTTGGTGGATTGTGTGTGGAGGCGGGAAAATCCAAATGAAAGAGATTTGTGTGTGTGGTGTGTGTGTCTTTTTGTTTGTTTGCGTGCTGTTGTTGTCTTTTTTGCTGTGCCGTGGGACGATGGAGTTCTGTCGGACGTGATTGTCTATGCGGTGCGTGGAATCATCCGGTTCCATATTGTGGATAAACGATAACTGACGTGTTCCTGTGTGTGGGTTTTGCAAGCGGAAATGAAAAGCAAACGAGAGACTGAGGATCGATCGCTATCTTTGAGATGGTCGATTTCGGCGGTAAAGACCGTCCCCGCGCGCGCATCATAGCGTCGTGCAGCTCGACTTCTGACCTGCCAGTTGATTAAACCCTCCCGACGACCAGCGAGGTCCTAATGTAAGCATCCAATCGTCCCACAGTTGAGTCTGTACAAAAGGACTACCAATACCGTCAACGTCATATGGTATTTCAATTTCGTCACTTCCACGCAAACAATTTCCAAGAGTGCTCACACACTCTATCACCCACTAATCATATCCACCGCCAGTAATTCGCCCCACTTCTGACGATCGTCGCCGCGGAAAAAGAAACGACTTATCGACCCATTGACCCACGCACGCTCACACCAAATCGTCCAGCAAAACCCACCCACCCACTTACCACCCACGAGAAAACAACCCATGCCTTCCCTCATCCACGACACGAACAGTAACAACAACGTATCAACGTATAAACGTGTCAACGTATCAACGCGAAAACACCCACTTTGCTCACACTTTGCGTCGAGCGGCCATGGCGGCGTCCCCCGCGCCGCTTGCGACGGCCACAGCGACGGCCACAGGCGACGACGACGACCGCCGCGTGCGTCAACTGCTCCGCGACCTGAAGATCGACACGGGTGACGTCGTGCTCTTTGACCGCAAGTGCTCGTCCATGGGCATCTACGGCGGCGCGATCTGTGCCGGGGCGAAGCTCTTTGGCCAGACGCAGTGGGACCACAACGGCGTCATCGTCCGCGTGCCGTCGCTCGCGCCCGATGCACGGCCTGAGTCGCTCGAAGATCAGCTGTTTGTGCTGGAAGCTGCGCTCACGGGCGTCAAGCTGCGGCCGCTCGTGGCTCGCGTCAGGCGCAGCCGCGGCCACGACGTCGCTGTGCGGAAGCTGCAGATCGCACGGACGCGTGCGTTTCAAGACATGGCCGTGGACTTTGCTTTGAGTGTGGTCAACGCTCCGTACGAAGACAAGTTGGCGCGGCTGTTCAATGCTGGCGTGTCCGTGCCGACGAGAATTGCACGGGAACGGCTGTTTGCCGCTCTCGTGGCGTCCAAGAAAGAGCTCTCGAGACTCGACGTGGAGCTCGCCCATCGCGACAAGATGTCAGTGTTTGAGAAAGAAGCGCTGCTGCAGGAGCGAGCAGCCGTGCATGCGAGGTACGAGCGGCTAGGCGCAGAGCTACGAAGCAAGGAACGATCGGTGTTTGAGAACGCTGTGGAAGTGCAGGCGACCAAGATGTTTTGCTCGCAGTTAGTTGCCCGGTTTTACCAACACGTCGGCCTGTTGCTGCCGTATCCGTCTGCGAACTCGTACTTGCCGAAACACTTTAGTGCGCGAGACGGCGGCGAGTTTGTAAAGCTGCAGCAAGGCGCGAGTTTCCTGCCCGAAATCTCATTGCGGCAAAACCTAGAGACAGAGACGAGGCGGTGGGCAACGAGAATGCAGGAGATGGAGGAACGGGGTCCGCGCGCTGCTGGGGAAGTAGCGGCTATTGTGCATTGCTTGCGGCGCCATCAACTGTTCCACACATTGAGCGAGCCAGACTTATTGGCCGCAGCTTCGCAGTTTCGGCGTCGTGTGCTAGCAAGGGGAGAGGTGGTGTTTCATCAAGGGACGCCAGGCGATTGTTTCTACATTATCGAGCGAGGGCATTGCGACGTTTTTGTCGACTACGACCATCCGATGAAGACACACGCCGTACTGCATGCAGCAGATGCCGGCAATGTTCCAGATCCAGAGCTTTCGCAGCGGACAGAGCTGCGGAGACACAAGACAATTGTTCTGCCTGAGTTCAAGTCGTCATCAAGTCGTGTGGGCAAGAACGAGCGCGTCCACGTGGCGACGAATGGCCCAGGCAATGCTTTTGGAGCGTCCGCGCTAATTTACGACACCCCGCGACGTGCTACATTACAGGCGAGCTATTCGAAGCCAGACGACAATGAAGAAGCTGTTGTTCTATGGCAGCTCGACAAGCGAGCGTTCTGCGAGATCTTGGCGCGTCATCCAGGCACACAGCAGTCTCTGGAAGATTGTCGCTTTTTGCTCGAAGTACTGGAGGACCACCCGCTGTTTGCCGAGCTCGACGATCGTGCTAAGGCATTTGCTGTGCGCAAGTGTTTTCCACTGAGCGTGCGAGCAGGTACGACTATATTGCGGCAAGGTGACCCGGGCGACTACTTTTACATGGTTGAAAGCGGTCGTTGTGAGGTGTCGCGTTGTAAACCAAAGGTGGCGAACCCTTTTGTCGACCGGGTCATTGGACGTGGTGCTAGTTTTGGTGAAGCTGCGTTGTTGTACAACAGCCGTCGCGGTGCCTCGGTGAAGGCGCTCGAAGATGCTAAGATATGGTGCATGGACCGTGCAAGCTTTCTCACGATCACACGAAGTGGGTCTGCTGCCCTGCACAAACTATTCCAGAAAATAGGCACCACGGTTGTCCCTGGTTCGAACGAGAGTTTTGCGACGGAACGTGACTTGCGTCGGATGCTCACGGACCCTCAGCATATGCAACTGGTCAAGCATGGTGATACGGAGGACGACAACGAGGACGAAAAGAGGGACAAGATGGCAGCCCATTCTGTCTCCCTGCTTGCGCCGCAGTCGTACAATCGCGCGGTGCAGCTTGCGTTATCACTTTTGCTCAACGACTCGTCCGGGCTCGTCAACTTTTCCCAGTTTGCCCATTTTCACATCGCCTTGGGTGCTTCCAATATCGACCAGCTTCTGTCAGAAGCTGCGTTCCGTGTACTGAAATCCGTGACGGACACGTACAACGAGGGCGATGCGCGCGTACTGAGACCGTCTACATCGCCATTTATTTTCGACCAGGTCGGTCCGGACCAAGCTATGATCAAACTGAACGATCTTTCTCGTGCTATCCGCCAGTGGTTGTCTACCGGTAAGGAGACAGCAAATGGTGCTGTCGATAAGCCGGAGACACCGGTTCATTTGACGCCTGGACGCTTGGCATTTTATGAGCGGTTGTTTGACTTGCCAGCGCATCAGTTGGGCGATCAATACGTTACGCACGACGACCTGGTGCGTGGAATCACAGCGTTTGAAATGGAGGACGCTCGACTAGGAGATGACCTACAAGATGATGACGATGATGCTCGATCGGACGACGTAATAGCAGCCAAAGTAGAGTTCCGAGCGTTTCTTGCTGCCCTCAAGTCCGATATCAGCGCGCTGCGTACCATCTGGCGCGCCGCGAAGCTACAAGCTCACGGTGGGGATAAGGCGGGCAAATTTGATGACCGACAGGAGCTCACGTTGGAGGCCAACCTCAAGTCTGGTTGGATCGCTGCTCTTCGTCTGAATCCCACAGGCAGTGACTGGGAATACTTGCGACCTGAGATGGAAGACGAGAGTCATCAGAAGGCGGCTTCCGACGGGACCAGTGCGACGTGTTCTGGACAGCACCTGACAGGTCAAGTCACGTCGCTTGCTGCTGCGATTGCTGCAGGTGCCTTGGCTCGCACTGCGTGTGCACCGTTGGAGCGGCTGAAAATGCTCATGCAGTTGTCGATACCAACGCCAAGGCCTGTCTCAGCCATGACTGCGACCACAAGACCCATGCTCAGCACTCCCCCGTACGCATCATTGACAAGGGGCATTTTGAACATGGTGAAGCTCAGCGGCATGCGTAGCTTGTTCAGTGGCAACCTCGCGCACTGTATCTGGGCGGTGCCCCTGGTACCCACAAAGCTCGTGTTGTGCCGTATCTACCAACATCAAGTTGGTCGTTCGCTTCCTGGGTCTCCTTCGCCATCCGGTGCGATCGAAGTGAATAGGCCCCGAGTATCTGCGACGTTGGCGAATCTCGTGGCGAATGGTCTCGCGGGTCTGGCGCTCCATGGTTTATTCTACCCGTTGGATGTCATCCGTGGACGCCTCGCTGTGCAGCAGTACTACAATGCAACTCGGCCGGCGCGTGGCATCGTGGACTGCGCTCGCTCTGTCTATGACAGCGCAGGCGTGCGTGGATTCTACCGAGGCTTTGTCCCAGCAAGTCTCGGCGTCTTCACTTACATCGGGTGCAGCGTTGCTCTGTACGAGTCTTTGCGGCCAATCTTTGTGCTCTACGACACAGAGGACACGCACCATCAGCTTGGACGCCCAAGTGTTCCTGGCCAGATCATGTGTGCTGCCACGGCATCGATTGCGTCGCAGTACGTTTCGTATCCGTTTGACGTCATCCGGCGGCGAGTTCAGCTACAAGGCGCCAAGTGGCATCCAGAACTCGTCTTTCCAACATACAAGAGCGCGTGGCACTGCGTGAAAGTATCTGTTCAAGAAGACGGAGGTGGTGTCCGCGGTTTGCGCTCGCTGTATCGGGGTATGTCCGTGAATGCTGTCAAGGCTCTGCCGCCCACAGTCATCTCGTTCCTCAGCTATGAGAAGCTGTGTGAGCTCGAGCACAGCGTAGACGACGCCTAGTCCACGTCTCGAGAGCACCACGACTTTTTCGTTCGAACGCGCTGCAGATAATTGACGATCGATACCAATGCTTGACATCGGGGCGCTCATACGGTTCGCTTGTTAGTTGAAGTTATACATATTTCTTCGCCAAGCGAGGGTGACTACTATATCGTGCTGGCTACAGCACCGCTCTGCAAGCTGACGGATGTCAAGTCATGAGCCTTGTTGAATCTCTGTCTTCAGGTCGTGTACCTTACGCCCCATCGAGGACAAAGAGTTTTTGCACGGCAAATTCGCAGTGCGGCGAGAGGAGGTGGACGTCTTCGGGTAGCGGCGCGGTGCATCAGATCGGTTTTGCTTGACGGGGCCAGCATACCGCAACGGGCTGACACTTCGCGACTGCAGTGTCTCGCAATCCTCGTCAAACAAGTCGCTGCAGGCTGACGGCATGCCATCTTGCTGCTTCACTAATGAGTTGCTGTCCACGGAAATGGTGCGCCCCGCTTCGACATGCTTGCTATCATTGCGCTCCCTCCGGAGCAAGCTGACAATGCTGTTGGCGACATCACGAATTGTTTCGGAGACACGTACAGCCTCAGTAAGAAGTCGAGAGCATTCTCGCTTAACGTCTTCAGCCCAACGAGGCTGGTTCTTGATGCGATCGACTCCTCGATATGCTGACTTCCAGGCATCGCCGTACCGTCGATGCAGCTCTTGAGATTGCTCCAAAAAGCTACCCCACCGCTTGGACACTAGATGCATGCGACCGATGCATTCGTCCAGCCGCGAAAATGCTGCTTCGTATCTATCTTCTCTACCACAAACACCAAGTACGGAGGCGCGAGAGATCGGACTGTCTTCCCACCGCTTGCTCGTCTCCGTGATCATATACTGAGTTTGTTCCAACTGCCCCAGCAGCGTTTGCTTCACGTCGCCCAATTCGACGCGTCGCTGCAGCTTTTGCGTGAGCTTCGTCACAGCGGACCTGTATTTCTCGATGTCGTTGTCGCGACGAGCAATGACATCTTTGTACATCGCGACTGCCTCCAGTAGGTCTTCGTTCTCACGAATCGATTGTCCATGCAGTTTCTGAGCATACCTAGCAGCTCTCCGACGCTCCTGGACCTCCTGAAACAGTAGCCGATTGCTTTCCTTCATAGCACGATGATCGTCCTGGGGCTCTTCACCCGTGCTTTGCCTCATGGCCTGGACGTCACTCCGTGCTCGAAGCAAAGCCTCTTCCGCTTTTGCTGCCCTAGTCTGTAAATAGTGGATTTCATCTTCGAAAGACCGCCTTTCCTCATCTGTATTCATACGCAACTCTTCGTACCACGTCGGCCATGTCTTCGTATCCACGGACTGCCTCGCATCATTCGCGTGAACGGACGAGCGTTGCAAAGAGTGGAGCTTGCTTTGGCTTGCGCGCAATTGAGTAGTCAAGTGCTCAAGTTTGGAGTTCATCGAAGACACCTGTCGTTCCCAGCGTGTCTCCAACGTTATCGCCTCAGCCTTTAACTCGGCTTTGAGAGCAGCAATAGCTTCTCGAGCCAAACTCGCCACCGTCTGGTGCCGACCGTCCCTACGGACAGGACTGCGACCTGACAAAAGTGGGCCAAGTTCCATCTCCACTTCCTCTAGCTCTCGCTGTGCTGACATATTCTCCTTCCTCGCCGATCTAGCCGTCTGCTCTGCCTCAATAGCCCGTTGGCGTTCTTGCTCCAATTGTCGTACTAGCGTGATTTCCTCCGTGGCAAGCTGATCGTCCCATTCTCGTTGCAGCACTCGAGCTGTCGTACCTGTCGACATATCAACCGCTACTGCTTCTGCTAGCTGCCGCTCAAGGTCTCGTACGCGCGTTGCCCGTCGAATCAACTCGTCTTTACAGCTAGCAAGCTCTTTTTCGTACTTCTGCGATTGAGCAGCTTGCCTGTCCAAGTCCAATTGACACTCCAAAAGATAGCGGTGCTGCTTCTGCGTGCCGGCGGCTTCGTTCGAAACCCGTTTCTCGCTATGTTGCAGTTTATGCTCCATCGCTTTGAGGTCCGCCTGGAAACTAGACAATTTTGCACGCAGACATCGGTTATCTTCTTCCATACTTTGGCGGTCTTTCTCCAACGCCAGTAGCCGCTCGTTCGACGTCTGTTGGCAGCGTGACTCAGCTAAATCATACTGCTCTTTTATCCTACGCGCCTTGCCCTCAGCATGTTTCAGTCGGCTTTCCAATTCTTGGACCGTCATCTCATGGTCCCTCTTTAGCTGGTCCAACTCCGTTTCGAGCTGATGAACGGTGCTCGCAGCAGCTTCGCGATCCGTCTTCAGACTATCCACTACCTTCGTCAGCTCTTGGCAAGCTGATACCATCTTGACATTCTCGTCGGTCAATGCCTGCCTTTTTCTCGCAACCTGCTCAGCATCGGCCTGCAGTCGAGCAAACTCCTGTCTCATACTCTCATTCTCCTTTCCTAGCCGTGCTTCTTCAGCCACAGCACGTTCCAACCGGCTTTCTAGCGATTTAACTGTCAGTTCGTGATCCTTTGCAAGCTTGCGTCGCTCGTGCAGCTTGTTTTCAAGCTGGCGAATAGTGTCGACAGCGACTTTCCGTTCGGCGTTAAAGCTCTCGATCGACTTTGTCTGCTCATCCAAAGCCGCAGCCAACCGGACATGTTGCAGCCGCAGTCGCTCCAACTCTCCAGCCAGCTGTTGCCTCTCCTTTGCCATCCGCTCCATTTCAGCCTGCAGTCTCAATCGATCCTGCTCAATGCTCTTGTTCTCCATCACCAGTCGCTCCTTGTCAAAATGCGTTTTCTCGCAATCTGTCAACAGTCGCGTGTGCTCGGCGCGGTAGTTCTCGCTCTCGCACTGCAGCTGCTGCATCTGATGCTGCACCTGTTCCTCCATTCGGTGCAGTTTCTCCTGATACCGCGCATCCAGCGCTTGTTTCTCCTGTCTCACTGCCTCGACCTGCAGCTGCAGTGCTGCCACTTGCTCACTCTGCTGCTTGCTCACGACCTGCCAGTGCTCGGCTTCGGCCAGCGCTTTGGCATTAGCCATCTCACTTTGCTGCAAGTGCTGCTGCTCTCGGTGGCTCTGCAGCTCGTCTTCTTGCTGCTCCCGCATCCTCACTTCCTGCAGCTCCTGCCACTGGGCCGTCAGTGTCTTGACAGCCTCTGTCTGCTGCTGCAGCTCGTGTTCGAGCTCGTGGATCTTTGCCTCTCGGTCGTGGTCTCGACGTACAGCTGCCTCGCGTTCGGCGCGCCACGTCGCGGCCGTTGCTGCATCAATGCCGCCGCTGGTGGAGTCCAGTTGCTGCTGGAGCTGCGCGTCAGCCCGTGCGCGCGCGTCCTCGAGCTGCGCGTGCAGCAGGTCAATGGCTTCCGTGGCTCGGATCATACTAAAGTTGCGCTGCCGCAGCTCGTGCTCGCGCTCCTCGAGTGCCATCCGTAGCTGCGCCAACTCGCTCTCGAGGTCTTCACTGGCAAACTCCGTGCCCTCTTTCATCCGCAGCAGCCGCTCCTCGAGGAAGTTGATGCGCAGCGCCTGGTTGAAGTTGTCCATGCGCAGCCGCTCGCGCTCGGCCGCTTGTTCGCGCAGCAGCGTCGAGTGGTCGCGCGGGGGCGTCGACGCGGGTGGCGTGTCGCTGCTGCCATCGTCTTCGCGGTGGACGCGGTGCGGAGTCGTCTGCATATAGACACAGATAGAGAGAGAGAGAGACACACACACACACGTAGAGAGCGAGAGAGAGCGAGAGGAGTAGGCGATGGACCACCTGCCGCTTTGGTGGCGGAGCTCGCTGTTTGCAATTGACGCTGGCTATTTGTGTACGGTACACAGCTATTTTCAAATGGGTGTGTTTTAAACAGGTAGTGGACAGTCGAGGAGATCGATCGGTCCATGGACGACGACGTGCTGGGGGTGGGGGGGGGCGCGAAAAAAGCGTCTTTTTCGTTTGTGCGCGCGGGCTTTGGGTGCTTGCTTTTGTCAGGGGCGGCGGGGGCTTCGAAACGACCCAAAGTGGGTTTTGGGCCGTGGTGTGAGGTTTTTTGCCCGGTCGAGTGCACTGCTGGTCCGACGGTATTGCGAGGATTGTACGACTGCTGCACTCGCGATGGGAAAACGGACGGTTTACGCGCAGGTGAGGGGGGGGGGGAGGGAGGAAGGGAGGGGGCGAGCAAAGGCGGACGTATGAATGGAGAACTAGAGAGAACCGGAGAGAGAGAGAGCGAGATAGAGAGAGATGGAGAGCGAGAGAGAACTCACACACACACACACATTCGCACTTGTGCTTTGCTGGATCATTGCAGCATGTCCATTTGCGAGTAATTAGAGCTGCAAAACAAGACGATTCATTCGAGGCACGGTGGGAGCTGGTGGCTATTTAGTATGTTGACATTGGGCACAAAAGGGCCACACATTTATATTTACCTCACTTGCTGCCATTGTAAGTTTCACTGGCTGCCGTCTCGCCTCTCTCGATCCGCTGTAATGGGCCACCCCGTTACATAAGTAGTTTCGATTAAGTTTACATGTTACTTAAGTAGGGGTGTTACTTTCGAAGTAGCGAAAGTAGCACGTCGTATATTTTAGCTGGTTTAATGGGCTCAGTACCATTATTAGCCAGTAAGATATAGACACGTAGATTGAGTGGTTCCCATGAGTCCAAGGGAACCATTCGTACTTAGGATGATTTTAAAAGACAAAATATAAACAGAGTTAAAAATACTTAACACCTAAGACTTGGGCTTTGAGCTTCCTCAAAGCGTTAGAAATAGTGTACGCTGAGTACGGGTTATTCTAGCCACGTTACACCTGGTAGCACTTAGTAGTCCTTCCCATGCCCGAGTTTGGGATGAGCGATTCGTCGTACTTTGACGCTCCAGACGTGAGTCTGGAGCACGCGACTTTTCCCCATCTCACTGGTGTTGAGTGGGATGCCCTAAATCGCCTCGCGGCGATATCGGGAGAGGCATTTGTTGTGTCGCTGATGAGATCAGCGACTCCTGATGAACAGCGTCTCGCCATACACGACTACATGGCTCGCGAGCTCGCCGAATTCCATCGGCGAGGTTTAACTCCCTCGCGGACTTCACGGAACGATGCCGTGAAGATGGAGACCTCCGCCTATTCTGGCGAAGGAAAAGAACGCTTGTCGTTGTCTCGTTGGTTTCGAGAGGTCGACATCGCTATCGCCTCGAGACTTCTCGAGGCTCCTCAAGCGAAGGTCAATTTCCTTCTTTCCCGTCTCACTGGAAAAGCCAAGGAGTGGGCCTTGGGAAAACTCGTTGTTGACGAGTTTGCGTTCCCCACTCTGGAAGCCATCCAGAGTGACCTTCGACTCGCCTTCGAGCCGCCCCAGGAAGAGAAGTTGGTGCGTTCAAGGTTCCTGTCCCTGCGACAGGGTAAGATGTCCATGCGCGACTACGTGCAGATGGCTCGACATCTGGCGTCTTGTATTGTCACGCATCCCATGGACATGTATACACAAGTGAACGTGTTTGTCGATGGCATGCGTGAAGGGCAGACTCGCCTCTCGCTGGAACGAGCAGAGCCTGCCACGTTGGAGGAGGCTTTCGCTATCGCTCTCCGTGAGGATTTCAGAGTCACCAAGGCCTATACCAAGCCTTCAGTTGTTACCGCTGTCAGATCAGCGGGCCCGGAACCTATGGAGATCGATGCAATTGAGTCGTCGGGTGACCGACGACGCGCTACAGCCTACAAGGGCGACGTCCGAGGCGGACGTCAGATGATCTGCTTTCGATGCCGAAAGCCGGGACATCGCGCGGCTGAATGCCGCGCGCCAGCACCGATGTCGGTGCATGCGTCGGACACCCATCATGAGGGAGGTGCTCCGATCAGTCGTCCAAAAAACGGACGAGACCAGTAGGTGCAGGGCGCCCTACTGGTTTGAAGAGAGGTCCGGGTCCACCGGTGGCAGCCCGACCTCCCAGCCCATCTGTGCTGCGTGCACGGTCAAATGCCACCACTACGAGTGGTGATTCACGCCTGATTATTGTTAATCTACATGTCGCCGGTATCCGGCGACCCCTACGAGCGCTCCTGGATTCAGGAGCGACAAACAATTTCTTCCGTGAATCTTGCGTGTCAATGCTGCCACCCAGCATCCAGGTCCACGAGGGACCTGGCCAAGTTGTTGTCAAGCTCGCTGACGGGAAACCACGCCGCGTATCGCGGCGCGAAGTGTCGTTGCCGTACACGTTTGACGGCTTTCGCAGTAACGACAACTTCTTGGTGATTGAAATGAATTATGCATTCGATTGCATCCTGGGCATGCCATGGTTGGCACGCTATAAGCCCCAGATCGACTGGTTAGCCAGATCAGTGAGACGTCGAAGCAAGTTCGACGTCAGCGAAGTGTTCACCCATCTCTTGGTGTCTCCAAGTGATTGGCCGAACGTTACAGTCGTGGATCGTACATCCACGACACCGGCGGTACACAGAGTGAGCGATGGCCCTCTCTGTACCGCTTGTTCCGTGCCCCTACGCACGAGTGATGATGCCTCCTCGCTTTGCAGCGAGGAGTCCGACGTGGACGAGCAGTGGCTCCCACGTAATGACGACGCGGACGAGCAGTGGCTCCCGCGCAACGACGACGCGGTCGAACAGCGGTTCCCGCACGAGAGAGCAGTGGTCGAACACGAACAGGTGTTCCCACCTGTACCCATTGTGGTCGAGCAGAGGCTCCCACAAGGGCAAGACGTGGCCGAGCAGGGGCTCGCCACCGAGTGTGACGTGGATGGACAAGAGTCCCCACGTGCGAATATGATGGTCGAACAGGGGTTCCCATCATCGCCTACTGTGGTCGAACAGAGTTTCCCACATGAGCAAAACGTGGTCGAGCAGGGGCTCCCACACGAGTTTGTGGCGGTAGAGCAGGGGCTCCCGCATCATGCGTCGACGGACGAGTATGGAATACTCCCGTCGCGCGATTTCGACGTCCTGGATGAGGACATCCAGCGTCTAGAGGGGGGTGCAGATTTAACACCTGACTGCGGTTCGCCAGCTTCGAGCATGGACTCGAGGCACGATGGGGACGCAAGCTACGAGAACTCAGCGTTGGAATGTGTTCACGCTATTGTGTACGTGGACGGGAGTCCACAAAGGCGCCAATACATTGAGGTCGCGAGTCCACCTCGCGACGCGTCATCTATTACGAGCCTTCCAGGACTCTCCTGGAAGCATTTTCTACGCGACCTCAAGGGAGGCACGGTGGAACAAGTATGTCTGGTCACCAACGAGGTGACTCATGAGCCGAATGAGGAGCTAATGACGCGCCCTCGAAGCGCTGAAAAGAAATCAGCGCGCGAAGAAAGATTTGCGTCGCAATCTTGGGAGGCTCTGCGCGAGTCTGGTAACCCTGTTTACGACATTGCACGAGAGTACGCCGACGTGTTCCCGGACAAGATTCCGGCCGAACTCCCTGCCGATCGTGGCGTGCGGCACGAGATTGATCTCGTGCCAGGATCGAAATATTGTGTGACACGGCAGTGGCCGTTGCCTCGAGACCAAGTCGAGGCTATTGATGCATTCTTCGAAGGTCGTCGCAAGGCCGGTCATGTGCGTGAGAGTGTCTCTCCCCATTCGAGTCCAACCTTCTGCGTGAAGAAGGCTACGGGAGGCTGGCGTATAGTGCATGCGTTTAACAAGCTCAACGATGCCACTATTCCTGCCCAAACGCCTATCCCCAGGAAAGACATGGTTCTAAACTCCATGTCAGGTAGCGTCATCTTCAGCGCCATCGATCTGACCGATGGCTTCTACCAGATCTTGATGCGACAGAGTGACATACCACTCACTGCGGTGAGCACCCCGAGTGGTATGCTTTGGGAGTGGCTGGTGATGCCACAAGGATTGAAGAACGCACCAGCCACTTTCAATCGCATGGTATCTCAAGTGTTGAGACCGCTTCGAGACTTTGCTCCTAGCTACTTCGATGACATCTTTGTCCACAGTCGCGCTGAGGGAAATCTCAGTGCTGTCCAAGTTCACCTTCAACACCTGAAGCAGGTGTTTCAAGTCATGCGAGATAACAAGTTATATGCAAACTTGAAGAAGTGTGTATTCTGTGCACCGGAGATTCCGGTGCTGGGCTGCTACGTGAGTAAATCGGGTGTTCGAGCCGATCCAGAGAAGGTGTCGTCAATCTGTTCTTGGCCCACACCCAAGAACCCTACGGAGTAACGTCAATGGCTCGGTCTAGCTAATTACTTGCATAAGTACACAAAGGATTACGCCGGTTCTATACAGCCCCTGTCGTCACTTCTGATGAAAGACGCCACGTGGTCGTGGCGTCCCGAACATCAAGCAGCCTTTGACGCAGTGAAGAAAAGCCTGGCGTCGGCGCCAGTGTTGATACTCCCTGACGACACCAAACCGTTTCACGTGGTGTGTGATGCAAGTGGCTTTGCAATTGGTTGCGCCCTCATGCAGTTCGATCACGAGGGCCGTGAACGAGTCGTGAGCTATCAGTCACGACAGATGAAGCCGGCAGAGAAGAACTATCCGGTTTGTGATAAGGAACTGCTAGCGATGCGCTACGCACTCATCAAGTTTCGTGTCCACCTACTGGGCGAACGCACGTTCGCCCTGTATACTGATCATGCATCGCTGCGGACAGCAATGAAGAGCCCACACCTGTCACAGCGGATGGCACGGTGGCTCTCTTTCTT